TGACGTCTCATTCTGGAGGTGAATAAAAACAAGAAAAAATGATAAACATCTAATATAAAGTTATTATAATGATAAAACAAATAACTTGGCTATTGAGATCATATATCTTGTTAAAATAATAAATTAGGCAATAGGTAATAAACGAAGTGTAAAATATTTTAAAATGTAAATAAGACCACACCTAAATTTGAGCTGGATAAAATGTTGAAGCATTTATAAAACTTATAAGTGCATCAATTATTGCACAGAAACATTTCTTGCTAGACTTTGCTACTAGTATGTAATGAATAATTTGAGGTTTACATTTACCAGTTATTGTTTAAGCTCCTTTCATTTTTTCAATGTTACATAATACACACACAATTTTTAAAACAATGGCAATAATACTTTTCTTATACAATTCTATTAACATTTTAAGTTTAAAAACTACTCGCCAATTACTGTCTAATTACTACTAGGTCCAATTAACAAGGAATTTATTTAATTTTAATTAATGGTGCTTCCATAGAGAATGTTTCATTTTTTTCAGCGGCATACCTTCTAAACGATCTAGAAAATTAAAGGTAAACAGTTTTTAACTGGTCTAATAAAGTTTACTGAAAAAAATTTATTACAACACCGTCTGTTCGCACTATCTTAACAAAAGTTTTATTATTATGCAAAATACAAACCACAACTGCGGAAGTTCTGCAAACTTTTTTGTATATTTTTATATTCATCTGGTTCGGCATTTTATATATTAAAAACTAATCGAAACTAACTATATAAATTGAGAGATTGACAATGAACGCATTTATTGGCCAAATAAGCAAGAAGACTAAAGACAGGAGGAGTAGCTAAAAACACTTTTTAGCTTCTTAAATGCCATTTAAAATATTAAAACTAATCAGCATGAATAGCAGTCCTTTTTGTACAACTATCTTAACAAATGTTGTATTGATATGCAAAATACAAACCACAACTGCGGAAGTTCCGAAAACTTTTTTTATATTTTTATATTCATCTGGTTCGGCATCTTATATATTAAAAACTAATCGAAACTAACTCTATAAATTGCGAGATTGACAATGAGCGCGTTTATTGTCCAAATAAGCAAGAAGACTATACCAGGAGGAGTATCTAAAACAATTTAATTTTTAGCTTTTTAAATACTATTTAAAATATTAAAACTAATCAGCATGAATAGCAGTCCTTTTTGTACAACTATCTTAACAAATGTTGTATTGATATGCAAAATACAAACCACAACTGCGGAAGTTCCGAAAACTTTTTTTATATTTTTATATTCATCTGGTTCGGCATCTTATATATTAAAAACTAATCGAAACTAACTCTATAAATTGCGAGATTGACAATGAGCGCGTTTATTGGCCAAATAAGCAAGAAGACTATACCAGGAGGAGTATCTAAAACAATTTAATTTTTAGCTTTTTAAATACTATTTAAAATATTAAAACTAATCAGCTGAAATAGCAGTCCTTTTTGTACAACTATCTTAACAATTGTTGTATTGATATGCAAAATACAAACCACAACTGTGGAAGTTCCGCAAACTTTTTTTATATTTTTATATTCATCTGGTTCGGCATCTTATACCTATATTAAAAACTAATCGAAACTAACTCTATAAATTGCGAGATTGACAATGAGCGCGTTTATTGGCCAAATAAGCAAGAAGACTATACCAGGAGGAGTATCTAAAACAATTTAATTTTTAGCTTTTTAAATACTATTTAAAATATTAAAACTAATCAGCATGAATAGCAGTCCTTTTTGTACAACTATCTCAACAAATGTTGTATTGATATGCAAAATACAAACCACAACTGCGGAAGTTCCGCAAACTTTTATTATATTTTTATATTCATCTGGTTCGGCATTTTATATATTAAAAACCAATCGAAACTAACTCTATAAATTGCGAAATTGGGCGCGTTTATTGGCCAAATAAGCAAGAAGACTAAACCAGGAGGAGTAACTAAAACAATTTAATTTTTGCTTTTTAAATACTATTTAAATTATTAAAGCAGTCCTTTTTGTAAGTTTTATAAATCACACTTTAAATAGACACCATGTATATGCTGTGACCTCTAAAAATAAGACAAAACAAATAAATATAATCAAATGAATTATTTATTTATAGCACACTTAAAATGATCAAATCATAAATAAATAATATCTGTATTCATATAAAGCCTTTGTCTTATTTTCCAATTTTGCTACCTTCTGTCCCATTGTGGAAGTTCTCCAGTAACAGTACACCATATAATACAGTTCTATGCCATATGTAGGAAAATTATAAATGCACTGAACAAAGATGTTTTATCAATTATTTAAAGTTAAAAAAAATTTTATTGATTGATTTGCGTTTTAGTCACTGGCTGAAGTTGGCTTAGGTAAGTAAAAAGTAAGGTTAAATTCGTTTGACAGTTGTCAGATGTCAAATGTTTAACAAATAAAATTCTTCTTACATTACATTTCTATTTCAATGTATTGAATAGTTAAATTAGTAAATCATTAGGTATAATAAATAGGCAATTTTATTTAGATTTGTCCTTGTTTTTTTTTAACAATTGTTGGTGTTTAATATGTGTAGTCTGTGAATCATTTAATAAAATTAGTGATGTGAATCGTTTTTCTGAAAATACATTTGCAGTGGGTGTTTTAATAAAGAATCGATGCGTCCCGAAAATGCATTAAAAAGGCAGCTCGCAATGATTTACAAACAATAATTTTTACGGCTTGTACACAAAAGGCCATAAAACACACTGTTGCCAAACTGAGGCGAAATTCAGAATAACGATGCATTTTCTAGCCCAATTTTGTTATATTGTTGCACATGCTCGCGTGCATTTACGGTAAATTTAAACAGTTTTATTTAAATACTTTAACCTACTAGGTGCTTCTTTTAATGGTCGCCATTAAGTATTTTTATACAGGGAACGCAAAAAAACAACTGTTTTTAGTAGAAATATTTTGCTTATGTCAAAAGATCACTTAAAGTTGGAAGTACTAAAACAATATATGGGTAATCTATTAATCGTTCTCAATAAAATTTTTGGGTGAATTACAGAAAAATCTTACTTGAATGACTTTGTTATTACAAAGATAAGCATTATACTTATAACAAGTGTTTTAAGGTAATACATTCCTAGTAGAATTTTTTTTATATTATTATATTCGTACTGAAATTGGGAAATCTTCAACCAATTAGAGGAGATGAAATTCAAGCACGACTATTTCAGTGCAAGATTGAACAATTGATTTCAAATTTGTTTATCTTGTGATAATTTGTCACGAAATTGATGCCTCGAAAGAAATGCAAATCTTTTTTTATTGTAATTTATGCACTCCAATACTGTTTAATGTCACATTACCTAGGTAGAAAGTTTTAGTTTCTCAGCAAAAGTGAAATTTTACATTTTATGCACTGTGTGTACAATATTAAATAGTTTTTTTGACCCAATCGTTTAGATTTCCTAATAGGCGCATAATTCAACAGATTTATTGACCATGTGCATTACAATTGTCGAATAGTGTACGTTTTATGCAATGAACACTTGAAAATTAAGTGCTGAATTGTGTAGTTAGTAAATTAATTGGATTTTTGCGAAATTGATCAAAGATAATTTTATCAGATAAAAATAATTTATTTGTACTTGCAAGGCTAGATTTTGAAATACAGGAATTTTTTTTAACTAAATTTTCCTAAACGGTATGATGATATTTCTTTTTTCAAAAGTAAAAGAGACAACAAAGTAATTGTAAATTTTAGCAAATTAAATAATAACTTGGTTTTAAAACATACCCAATAATAAATATAAACTCTTAATTTTTATTATAAGTACCATAATTTAAATTCCAGCAATTTTTTACTAAAAAAGTTGTTTTATATGATCTTGCTTCTCCCTCACTCCTATGCAGTATGATGGTGTTTCATTTTTTTAAGTGTGCATATCTTAAAGCTGGTTTATAAAGTAAAAATTCACATACTTGGATATACAGGACGTGTAACGAAAACCTATACTTAAACGAGGAAGAAAAAATATTATGCCTTTTATTATTTTTAATTTGTTTTAAATAATGTGATTAAAAGTCATGAGGAACGCACACATGTTTTTAAGTTTATAGTTGGCCTTTAAGATCCCTACACAATTTGACTATGACATAGTATTTAATTTATACTGTGTGAAAGTGAATAAAAATGTCCATGTTTTGTTTGTTTTTTATTATTAATTAATACACAATAAATAAACATACTTTCGATATTCTAATTTGACAATATTTTTATATCCTAATTATTATTCAGTAATGGCGAAATCACATTTTTGAATGATTAAAAGAGAAGTGTTTATTGCCAACTTCAAAAATATTTACATATATCACAGGAAAAACAAAAAATGTAAACAATTCAATCTCTCAATGTTATTACAATATTATTTTTTTGTATATTATATTTCAGAAGTGCTTTTAAGGTATTCGAGAAAGAAAAAAAATAATGTTAATTATAGGTACCTACTATGGTATTGCAAAATAATTAGAAACCCAATGGAAATTGAAAATCATGATAAAAAATACCTAATTTGGGATACGTGATTTCGCATTACACAATTTTATTTAATTTAAATTAATTTCGATGGTATTTGAAAATCTTATCTACATACCTTAAATTTCAAAATATTTTACGATATTGCATAAATTCAAACATTTATCCATTATTATAAGTACCTACATGATCTTTTATTTTGGAAAAAAAATTATCAAAACTTGCCGACCTTACTTAAATGTTAGAAATATGAATGTTTTTTAGTAATTAAAACCTGTTACCGGATTTTGACTGCATATATAAATTTATGTACCTTTTAGACTATTTGTTATTATATAATGCATATTGTTTATAAATAAAATAATAACTTTAACAATGGTAACAAACCATTCATTACACACCAGTACGTTATATAATTACCATGTTGTCATACAAAAAATAAATAAACACATACCCCAAAGACGAAAAAAGAAAAAAATCCTCGAGCACAACACAATAATTACAATCACAACAATGTAGGTACAGTTCGGGTCACTAAAAGATGGGTGCCTATACCCTCACTTACTCTAAAAAGGTTTTAATTTGTTGATGAAAAAAAAAGGTAAATATAGGCAAAATTCCTATGCCGAGTGCGATTGGTAACTAACACTTCACACAAGTCATACCGCTACTCAACACAAATTCAACTAGTTCAACATGAGCTATACCTTATAGCCCATGCGCAGTGTTATTTTACCCGAGAATGAAAAACGTTGATCTTGATGTCGGATGCGAGGACCACCGTAGCCTTTTCAAATAACAGAACAGACCGTATAAATTTTTATATACGATAGCCCCATATAAATGTTCTAAAGTTGGATTTTAAGAAGCTTTAATGTTTAGCGGTAATTTTTTGCTGTTGACTTTTAAGAAAAAAATCTATAAACAATTTTAGTCCTCTACAAAAAAACCATATAAGTCGACACTCTAAAATTGATATTTTATGAGATATATAAAGTTAGGGTTATCAAAATTAAAAATTTTGATAATGTCAAAATTTATAAAATATAATTAAAAATTTTCATATGAAATTTTACAACCAGGGACGATTCGTATACCTGTTTAAGGCCTGGTCGCTCCTCCTCTATTGCTAATAGTTTTTCTCATGAAAAGTCATGCAATATACTGAGTATATGAAAAGAGCTAGCTTACATTTTGTTGAAGTTTTCAACGTAGAATAGACCACATGATGTTTGCCCAATAAACACACTAAAATATTAACATACCTACTTTATTTAGGAGAAATTTAATATTTCCTTTAAATGTCAGCATCTTATCTAAATTTAATTTATTAATTAATTACAATATTTTTGCATAATTTGAAATATAGACGGCGCCTGAAAAAAAATAATTTTATCATTAATAATGTATGTATTTGAAATGCAGCTTTTATTTCCTGGATGATTTTTCTCGTATGAATATAAGATATGTGAAAACTTTCTAATAAAATCAATAGGAAAAATATTACTTAATGAAAATGCATTTCGCATAGGTAATTATAACAACAAACAATAAGAATGCATTAATTACTATTTTATTTAATTATAAGATACTTGGATTAATTTAATCTAGGTGCAGATAGTTAACTGTTTAAAAACCGCTAGGTTGTTTATTATTAATTTTCTTATTATGAAAATTGTGTATTTTTGTGGTCGATAATGCGCCAAGCATAGATTGATTACATATAGGCAACCCATATAACATCACGGGGTAGGCGGGTTGCGTGGGTTGTGAGAAAATCTATAATACAACACGAATCAGGTAAAATAAAAGTACAAGGAGGTTTAGATGCGTTGAAGGATTAGTTTGTTGCCGAGAAGCAGAGGGATAGGGACAAATTAAACGTTAATATAGTGGAATAAAGGATGTCAGGGTTAGATTTGGCAATACATCAATGAAAGCGACTTTCCAGAACGGAGTTTGCGTGCGCAACGAGCGCAGCTGTTCGTGGTCTTTGTCGGGTTACTTACGTTGCAAGGAAATGTTTTATTGATACGTGCGATAGGTTTGGTAAAAAAAGCAAGTGATGGCTAAAAGCGACGCGAAACAAAGTGAAGAGTTCGAGGGCCCGCGACGCGGTGTTGTTTGATTCGAGTGCGAAAATTGTGCAAGTGGTAATACATGGAGGACAACGGGATTAGATCGAGAGCGCGGTCGAATTCTGCACGGGTGCTCGTTTTCGACGAGCCGAAAGCAGGACAAAAATGTCCCATACCCGCTGTACCAGCAGCCCAAACCTCCGCCAGACCGAAAAACACAGGTCATTACAACTTTTGTTTGTTTACTATACATACACACACACACATCCCAATGACAACATGTTCCCACTCTATGACTCACGCTAAACCATTCATTTTTTAAGGAAATTACATCCATAAAAATGTGCTTATTTGCATGCAGTCTATTTTTATTATTGCTTTACTCTCTTGCCAATTTACACGCAGTTTGACATTTCATTATCCGCACCTATGTATGTTGGTATACATCCATACAATTCAGCCTCTATTAGCCAATTTTACGTAACCATTATTTTAATTGAATTGGATTGAAAATAGCTATCCATGTATTGTATGCCCCAAGGTTTACATACTTTAAAAGTAGGTATACAATAAATGTTTATAACCTTAAAGCATATACGTTATAAATTGTCAAAGAGCCATAAGATATTTGCAATTCTTATCATTGATAACTTATCAATATTCCAACCGTCTATAAAAATTGCCCTTAAAGGGTTATTTAACATAAAAAATAAATGCTGTATGAGTTAAGTTATTTTAAAGTTCCCACACACAAAGCTTATATAAATAACGTATTAACAACCCCCATGCTCTGTTTCTAAATTTCCCCAAAATTACTACCTCCAATGTTTACATTGTCTTTCTAATTACAAACTAAGCTATTTCATTGTGTATCTTTTGTATTTAAATATCCTATAATCTTTATCTGACTGTTTGTTTAAAATTTGTGTTTAAGGCATTTAATTCTTTGATAAAATTTCTGTTCTATTCGTGTTTCTAATGTGAAGTTCGTCATTATGTTTATTAGTGTGTGGTTTTTCAGCGTATGTATTGATTTTATATATGGTACAAATTCCAAAAACATGCTAGGTGTAGGCAATATTATTATTATACAAATTTATTTATGTATCAACTAGTATTTAGGTCTGTTTGTTAAAGTTTGCGACTTTACTTTTTATAGAAAATGATCTCTATAGAAAGCAATAAACCAATCAGATCGCGGCATTATCCACAACACACTACGTGCGATTTTGGTGATTGGTTTATTGCCTTTTATAGAAAATAAATCGCAAATTCCAAGAATTTTTATAAATCACGTCAATGAATTAATTGTATCTTATCTTATGTTTAAAACTAATAACCAAGCACTTAAAAATAATATAATAAAACATTTGTTACTTGGATTCATAAATATTTGACATCTCACTTTTTCGCAATTTATTATAAAACTAACTTCATCTCATGACTGAAATGTCAACTTTTGCCAACTTCAGCCCGTGACTAAAACGCCATAAAGTCACAGCTCGTCGATGTAGAAGTAGATAACAATATGTTTTGGCTTACCTACACACCTTTTTTCCGCCTAATTTACTAATTGCATTTTAAACTACCTAACAATAACGATTATGTACTAAAAGTGGAAATTTTTGTATTTATGTTGTGTCAATGTGTATTTTTTTCATTCTAGATGCCCCGAATGGCCCATCAAATTTGGTTAGGATAAAAAATTCGAATTTAGGAAAATCGGCCCCCTCTTTATCCGTTAATATGGTATGAACTATGTTTAATTGTTTTTTTATTGAATCTTTTTTTGTTTGCACGTATAACAGTTTTAATGATGTTTTAATGGGACAATTTTTACATAAAAATTAATAAAATCCTGTGTTACTTGATTTTACCAACAAGTTTGTATTTTAACTATAAAACAATTTAGTGGATGCGGAAGTTATTAAATACCATAAGAAATAAAAAAATGTCGTTTTTTGTTAAATTAACTTTTTATTTTCCTCTAATTAATTAATTTTTTTCTTGGATTTTAAGACAGTGATTGAGTGTTTTTGTCGCTCCAGAGTAACTTTTTGGTCATTTAAATTGAATTTTAAGGGGGGTGCAAGTCTCCAGGATTTTACAATTAATGTTTGTTTTCGGATAATGTACTAAATTAAAATCATTGCTTCTAAAGTAAAGTTCAATCGCTTTGATTATTATTATGTCTTTCTAGTGAAATGCGGTGAAAGTTGCATTTCCATGCCGTTTATTTTTCTAATTGCAGAGGGACCTAAGCGGCGTCAGCAGGAGAAACAGCCGTCCAGCAGCAATTCACCGATTAAGTTTCATACAAACTGCGTCTCCTTCGTTGCCTAGATCGCACTCGCCCAACTGCGGTAGCCCCATCGATAGCCCTCGCACACATAACAGCTTTCTCAATTTTAATTTCGCTCCGATAAAAAGGTACAAAACCGATAAAAACCCCGTATATAACTTACATAAATTGTTTGCCATTATATGCATGTTTTCAGTTAATAAACAAAATTTACATACGCGTATAAATATTATTTATGCAAATTGTATTAGAAATTGCGAATATTAATCACGCAATGTTGCCATTTAGTCGCCTGTTGTCAAGCCAATTTTTGAGAAAAATACTGACATCCTTTAGTTGACTTTTGTCCCTTTTAAGGATTTGCGCCGGTTATTGCGGAGATGGTAGAAGATGGTCGGTGGCGTCTTTGCCGTCGTCGGGTTACGGTACCACCCCGGGTAGTTCGAATATGTCGGTAAGTAAAGCGACCCTTAACTGACTGCTTAAGTATTGAAATTTTCCCCGTTTCAGTCGAAATGTTCTAGTCAAGAAAGGTTACATCAGCTGCCCCATATACCAACATCGGACGACATCAGAATGTTAACGCAACATTTTTCCAGTAATGATAGTAACGCGTCTTTACCGCCAGGGAGTTACGAGGAAAATCCAATATTGCATAGGTCGCCACTACACAGACCTAGATCAAGATCACTTAGGTAGGTCTTAATTGTCATTTTCTCGTATATTGCAGTAGAAAAGAAAATGTAATTAAGGTAGTATCTCTTTATAAAGAGTTTGATAAATAAATAACAGTAGGCCGTGACAGAAATTCAGCGCTACCAATGTAGTAAAATAAACATTGTATTTTAATTAACAAATTAAAGTATCATTAAAAACTACAAACAACATAAAAAGTAATTAAGTAGCAATAAGAATTGTTTAATTGTTGTTATAATGGCAATATTAAGGTTTAAAACTGTCATATTTTTGTGTTTCTTAAGTTGGAACTGCCAAAATGGTCATTAGAAATTTTGTCCTGCCAACAGCACAAAATGTAGTAAAAATAAAACGTTGTGTTTTAATTAACAAATAAAAACTTTTTTACAAATTAAAGTATCATTAAAAACTAAAAACAACATAAAAAGTAAATAAGTAGCAATAAGAATTGTTTAACTATTTGTTGTTTTAATGGCAAAATTAAGTTTTAAAACTGTCACATTTTTGTGTTTGGCACTGCAAAAATGGTCATTTCGAATTTTGTGCTACCAACAGCACAAAATGTAGTAAAAATAAATCGTTGTATTTTAATTACCAAATAAATACTTTATTACAAATTAAAGTATCAATACAAACTACAAACAACATAAAAAGTTAATAAGTAGCAATAAGGATTGTTTATTTATTGTTATAACGGCAAAATTAAGATTTAAAACTGTCATATTTTTGTGTTTCTTAAGTTGGCACTGCCAAAATGGTAATTTCAAATTTTCTGCTGCCAACAACACAAAATGTAGTAAAAATTAAACGTTGTACAAATAAATACTTTATAACAATTTAAAGTATTAATTAAAACTAAAAACAACATAAAAATTAAATAAGTAGCAATAACAATTGTTTATTTGTTGTTATAATGGCAAAATTAAGGTTTAAAACTGTCATATTTTTGTTTTTCTTAAGTTGGCACTGCCAAAATGGTCATTTCAAATTTTGTGCTACCAACAGCACAAAATTTAAAATGACAATTTTGAAATATGGGCTGTAAAAAAATCTGAAATTATTTAATAAATACAAAATCATGTAATAAATTTTGAAGACATTCTATGGAAACGATCCACAATTAATAGAATTAAATTTAATCAATTTTTTCGTTGAAATAAAATCAAGTATAATCTAATAAAGTGGGAATTTACCCACAACCGTGGTTTCTAAAATTAGAATAAATTAAGTAAATAAATGTTATTTGCGATAAAATTGTTTTCAATCCTATTTGGTAGCGTTTTTTCTAATTATAGAATCGATTTATTACCCTATGACTCATTTTTTTTCATTGCGATGAATGTGTTACACAAAAAACAATTAATTTTCCAATAAATGCTTGTTATTGTATTATCTGGTTGTTAACCTTTCGCGTTTTTTTAATAAACATTATCTATCACCACTCCTCTTTAATTTCATTAATTGGTGTTGTGCCCAATTAATTAACAACTTATTTATACATATACACATGTACCTATACATATTTACAAACCTTCGCAGTATTTACTTATAAAAATCCAAAACTGAAGGTCGCCTAAAACGCGTTAAATTTTTTTCTCCCAAACAAGCAGCAGTCCAAGCAGATCTCCCGTTATCGACAACGAAATATGCATGATGAACGTGTTATATAAGGAGAGATTCCCCAAAGCTACGCAACAAATGGAGGAACGCCTCACGCACTACATCGACGAAAACAAAACCTTCGATTTCGGCGAAGATTGCGACTACCTTCCGATTGTCCGTTTTGTGCATCACCAAGTTTTGGAGATGGCTCGCGATTGTCTGCATAAGTCGCATAGCAAGCTGATCACCAGCCGATATTTCTACGAGATGTCCGAAAATTTGGAGAGATTATTAACTGAAGTAAGTTTTGGTTGCTTCAAAAGTAACATTTTCTATATACCGTACCTTCATTTGCAAGCTATAACATGCAAGTCGTGTCGCGCCGGTCAGCGCGAAACGAAAATGTTCCCAGAAATTATTTTGACGAGTGGATGAGTAGACTAACATGCGACGTAACAGGTGACCTTGTTTACTGGCGATTAAAATTTTATTACGTCCTAATAATTTCTGAGAACTTTTTCGCTTTGCGCTGACTTCGACTTGTCTGGTCCACCTACAATGTATTTTCCCTATGTATAGCTTGCAAATGAAGGTACGGTATAAAGCTAAACAAGTATTAGAAATATTCCCCATATTGTTTTGGTGTTGGGGAATATTTCTAATGTTTGTTTAACATATCACCAAAGTTGTCCTTTTTCAAGTATACATAGAGCTGTTTGTTTTCTAGACTAAAGAAAAGTCTGAAGATGCTGCCAATCTAGTGACGGGTTTCGTTAAGAAGTTGCTGTTGATCATATCGCGTCCAGCGCGTCTTTTGGAGTGCTTGGAGTTCGATCCGGAGGAATTCTACCACTTCCTTGAGGCCGCTGAAGGGCAAGTGAAAGGTACGCAGGTGATAAAGGCCGACATACCTCAATACATCATACAAAAATTGGGGTTGAATCGCGACCCCATCGCCGAACTGCAGCAAGAGTTAAGGGATTGTTGGTCGTCATCAAACGCTTCATCTAGAAACTCCCTATGCTTAACCTCCACTCCGACGAATAAAAGCAAAATTTCCAATCCTGCCGAGACGGATTACGAGGTCGTCAAACTGATATCGAACGGCGCTTACGGGGCTGTCTACTTGGTGAAGCACAAACAAACCAAACAACGATTCGCAATGAAGAAAATCAACAAGAACAATCTGATGCTGAGGAATCAAGTCGAGCAAGTGTTTGCCGAAAGGGATATCCTCAGCTTTGCCGACAATCCTTTCGTTGTAAGTATGTATTGCAGCTTTGAGACGAAGAAACATCTGTGCTTGGTTATGGAGTACGTGGAGGGTGGGGATTGTGCGAGTTTAATCAAAAATATTGGCCCCCTACCGCCGGATATGGCCAGATTTTATTTTGCCGAAACCGTTTTGGCTGTTGAATACCTGCACAGCTATGGAATCGTACATAGGGACTTGAAGCCAGACAAGTAAGTTTTTTACTATACCATGAAACATTATGTGTATAATGTTTGTTTTAGTTTGCTTATAACCGCCTTGGGTCATATAAAACTAACGGATTTTGGTTTGAGTAAGATGGGATTGATGTCACGTGAGTTGAATTTTAGCAATACGTTTATTATATTTTAAACACTTCTTTTAGTTGCCACAAATTTGTATGAGGGTTACATCGATACAGAATCAAGACAGTTCTCCGATAAGCAAGTTTTCGGGACACCTGAATATATAGCACCAGAGGTTATATTAAGGCAAGGTTACGGCAAACCAGTTGATTGGTGGTCGATGGGTATTATTCTGTATGAGTTTCTGATTGGTTGCGTTCCGTTTTTCGGCGATACACCTGAAGAACTCTTCTCGCATACGGTACAAGGTAATTTAACAAGACAACCATTACTTTGGTGATATTATTATTGAATTGTAAATAATTGTTGCAGATGACATCGAGTGGCCGGAGAACGAAGATTGGCCGGTACAAGAGGAAGCAAAGGATCTCATAACAGTTTTGCTGCAGCACTCGCCTAGAGACAGGCTGGGTACAGGCGGTGCCCACGAGGTTAAGGAACACTTTTACTTTTGCGGCGTGGATTGGAACTCGCTTTTAAGGCACAAGGCGGAATTCGTGCCTCAGTTGGAGCACGACGAAGACACGAGTTACTTCGACAGCAGAATCGATCGGTACAGTCATGAAATCGAAGATGATACCGACGACACCGACGATTCGCCGGTGTTCGGTTTGTTTTCCTCTTGCTCGCCGCAGTACAGGAAGGTGCATACGTCGTCTAAATTGGCCAGCGAGGGCGATAATAGCGCGAAAACAATTAAGATTCTCACTACCTCGGTACAACCTACTACCCCCGAACCAAAAGCAGAACTGAAAGACTTGAAGGCCAAGTTGAGGCCGATAAAGCTGCTGCAAACGCCGGACAAAGACGCCGAAATTCTGCCTTCCGAGCCTAGAAAAATTTCGTTGGATTTGTCGCTGTGCGCGATGAGCACGCCGGAATCGTCGCAAACTGACAGCGACGACGTGTCGCCTCAAATATACCGCAGGAGGAAAACCGGACACGGCAGAGATATACTGCCGAAGTTCTCGATTTCCGTCGAGGACGACCATTCCGGTTTTGATACCGGTACCGGTTCTTCATCGGAGAACAGAGAACATTCGCCACTGGGCGGTAGATTGCAGCAATCGTCGTCATCGGCAGTTGTACCCAACACGACCACCAAACACAAATCCAGATCGGTGGTAAAAAGCGCGTCTGCTTCGGGTTTGTCCCTCATGATTCCGTCGGACGAATTCCAGACCCCCACGCACACAATCCATTCGCCCAGCGGCGGTGGCGGCGGTGGGGGTGGATCCAGCACTGCCAGTTCGAGGGACACGTCGCCTTGCCGCGAGCTGTCGCCGCTAGTGACGAGCCTAAAACCGCCGATTATCATTCGCAGAGGACCCAAAGGGTTCGGTTTCACGGTGCACACCATCAGGGTTTACTACGGCGACACCGACGTCTACACGATGCACCACTTGGTGATGGCGGTCGACGAAGGCAGCCCCGCCTTCGAAGCTGGATTGAGACCGGCGGACCTGATAACACATATCAACGGGGAGACGGTGCAAGGGCTCTACCACACGCAAGTGTTGCAGTTACTGCTAGGGGGCGCCGAGCATGTCAGTCTGAGAGCCACGCCTTTGGAACAAACCACCATAAAAACCGGCGGACGGAAGAGAGAGCCCGGGCAAAGCAAACTGGCCAAACGCAGTCTGAACAGACAAAAGAAACAGAAAAGGGACAGCGACAAACGAAGGAAGACTTCTTTATTTAGACGCATAAGTAGCAAAAGAGCCAGCGTTGAAATTCAGCAGATGGCAGCCAGTATACAGTCGCCGGTTTCGGTGATGCCGAGCAGAAGTTTCCAATCGTTTCCCAGGACGCAGGACAGCAGTTACTCCACCGCGAGCACTGTCCGCAGTTGCGGAACGAACCGTTCCAGTCTCTCGCCTTCGGACCTCTCGGCCAACTCGACGCCTCAAAGTACAACCTCGAGCACCCCGAGCCCTTCCAGCGCGCCGCAGAGGAGCAGCAAGCAACACTATCAACGGCCGTCCACGTTGCACGGGCTCAAGCACAAGCTCCACTCGAGCGGATGCCCGAAGACCCTGCACGCGGCGGGCCCGTCCTGCGCGCCGTCGGTGCCGAACCGCAGAAAATCCGTGGGCCACATTCCCCTCTCTCCGCTAGCCAGGACCCCCTCTCCGTCGCCTTTGCCGGCCTCGCCGACGCGCTCCCCGAGCCCGCTGGCGTTCCCGATAGGCCATCAGCCGGGCAGCTCGAACACCACGCAATCTTACAGCCCCAGCGCGGGGACCGCCCCCATCCCGGTGTGCTCTCAAAGCAAGAAGGGTTTCGTGCGCGCCAAAGGCGCCGAGCCCGGATCGCCCTTGCTGCGCAGAGCGTTATCCCCGGATCGTCTGCATCCCAGAAGCGCCGAGACCAAGTGCTCGATATCGCCGCTGTGCTCCTCGGGAAATCCGCAAACGGCTGTCAAAGCGTCGTCGACGAGATGCGGCAGCACTTCGAGCGTGTGGCGCCCGAATGCTCAACCGGAGAGGGACAAGGACTCCGATTTGGATCTCTCCCAATCCCAATCAAATGATACCAGTCTGAACTCGGAGAACCGTCTCTCCCTCAACTTGTCGGGGCCGGGCGAACTGCTGCCGCGCATCGCCGAAGAAAAGGACTCGCCCACCGGCGGCCAGGAAAAAGACAAGCCCGATAATAAATCGGAGAGCAAAGAGAAGGGCAAATGTTTCGGGGATTTGCAGCAAAGCAAGAGTAAAAAGTGTGATAGAGGTCCGGACGAAGCGAACCAGACCAAGATTATCGATAAATTTAAGGTTAATAAAGCTTGTGATAATAAACCCACCGCTGAGGTAGGTAGCAAAACACAACAAAAAGACAAGTCTGAAGCCGATTCAAAATCGAAAGAGGACGTTAAATTGAAAGATACCAAGTCGGCCAGCGCCAAGGCCGACATTAAGAACGCGTGCAAACCGCTTGCAAAATAAATAGATGTGTGTTTTTACTTTTATTCTTTATTATTATTATTAGTATGTATTATTTCAAACACTTCTCACTGTGCCCTGAATTCTTTCAAAACATAGGTGTATATTTATTAGATGTCCTTTCTAGACCATTAAGCCTGATTTATAGATTGCCTTCCTTCCTCCCGTAAAATACAAAAACCGTTGTGCCAACAACACAACGGTTTTTGTAATGTTCATATTTTACGGGAGGAAGGAAGGCAAGCTATAAATCAGGCTTTATAATGTATATTTGTAAAGCACGCCTAGATCGTTAAACCATTTTTTCATTGAATTGATGCACCATCCAAAATAAGGAGCGTCCCCCATTTTATCTTTGGAGATAGTGTGTTGATTAGTTTTATATTCGTTAAAGACTGAACAAAAAAGTTATTCGCCATTTAAGTTTTATTAAGGTGGTGGTGTGTTTTAAGCCATTCTTTTTTATTTCAATCAAATATATTTTCTTTTTATTAATTCATGATAGTTTCATGAGATGTGATTTTAGGTCTAATTTTTTTCTACATCTCCAATTTTTTTATATATGATATATACATAGAGAAGGCTGTTTTTATTGTTTATATATTAAAAAAAACAAAAGTAATGTGTGTTCTATGTGGTTAAAATTTGTATATGCGAGGGTCGTTCAAATAGTTCTCAGTCTTCATTTGCGTTTTTATCCATTTCATAAAAACACACTTTTTACTTTAATTATAAGCGAAATCTATGCTTTAGACCGGTAACTTTTCGAACAACCCTCGTATTCGCGATATCATTACGTTTCTTTTTAACGTATGCATATTTGGATTTTATGTGGGAATAACAGCGTGAAGTCAATTTATACAGTTACACAGGGTGTCCTTTTTAAACTGTTTTTTACATAAATTTATTGATGTTTGTTTTTTTTTTGAATTATTTTTGCTTTGTGTATGAGGTTTTTTTTAGGATATCGCGAATGTCTGTATTATTTTATACATACATAATAAATATATCCAAGATTGTAATGTTAATGTATTTATCTGCTTTTTAAAGTATGTTTTTTAATACCATACTTTATTAATTAATTACATGGGCACTTGGCAATATCATAAGTCATTTTATCTTTTAAATGTTTTTAAAACAGGTACATCAATTGTACCGTTCATTGGCGGATCCAAGGGGGGGGCGATGGGGGCGATCGCCCTCCCCGGAAGTAAGTTATCAAGTTGAAATTGAACATAACTTTTTAAATTAATATAGAAAATAATAAAAAAATGGAATAACTTTAATTTTAACTTTCTTATTATTTACAAAAAATTCAACTCCGCCCCCCCCAATGACACATTCTAGATCCGCCCCTGGTACCGTTACTATGTAGTTTTTTTTAAATATTGTCTTGTCCTTGTTTAAACTAGGTATAAAATTGAATTGCTGGTTACTTTTATCAATTTAAAATGTGATTTTGATAATTGTCATTTAAAATGTTATACATGTGTTAAATTTAAAGAAATATAAACAATCAAGTAAACTGTTTTATTTAAATTAAAAATGCTTAAGCCGGCCCTGTCTATCCCTCCAACAAAGAGTTTTACACAGCGCCATTTTTATTTAACAAGTTATACTATTTAAAGAGTTATAATATTTTTACGCACTCACGTGGAATTGAGATAATAAACGATCTTAAACAGTGAACAAAGAAAATTAATTGAATAATGCAAATATTGTTCCACTTGCGGAATAACGAAAAAGAAAACAATTAAAACAGCTAGTTTTCACATAAATTTTAAACATTGTCCACATTTTTGGAATAAAACTTTTAAAGCAAATAATTCGAAAAAACACAATATAGGTGGAACTGTTGTTAAATGTATCAAATATTATTTATTTTTACACCCTATAGGAAAATTAAGTACGGTCCTGTCTTGCATTTTCTGCACAGCGCCATCTGTATGGTTTTCGCCATGGCTTTTTTATTTAACAGATGATAAAAAGCGCCACCTATGCGAGTGTGTGTTGACTAGTATTGACAGCTTGATACGTCAAAAATACTCGGTTGGTAATGTAAAATGTATCAGCGCTCCATGTAATTTTGTATTTATGTACTGTTTTGTTCATTTATAGTCTATATTTATATATATATCGTCTAGTTGATAATTAGTTGAAATATTTTAAAACATTTAACAATGGATTCGGAGGAAGAAACGTACGACGATGTGGATTCTGGCAATGAATCGAGCGGAGACGATGTCGATTTTGCTATGGAAGTCGAGGTAACTGGTCACAGAGAAAAACAAACAGACTCTGATGATTACCCATACGAAGTATTTAGCACTGAGGAAATCGTACAACACATGGTAGACTCCATTAAAGATGTTAATTCTGTTGTCGAAGTGAGTATTTCAGTCACTTTCACACAACTTCAAAAATCTCTCTTTTGTGTTTTGAAAACTTTTTCCCAATAACTTTCACTTATTTTTACTATTCTAAACAACTTAATTTGCTGTAATTTACCTAACTAATAGGGGTTTTCAATGTATTGTATGTCTACCAGGAGGAAATTTTTTTTATTTCTGATTTCTCAGAAAAATTTATTCTGGATGACTTTTCCTACTAAGCCAAAACAACACAATCTTTTTTGATATCTCCAAGAGTTTATGATGAAATCACATTTTTCTTTATATTTGGAATGTAAAAATTAATTTTAAATAAAACAAACAATGACAAAACATTCCTTCTTTATGGTTTGCCCTTGTAATCATATATAGCAATACATTATTTGTTATAAATAACACCAAAGAAAAAATTGTTCTGGCTGCCAAACAATGGACATTCTTCTGCCAATTTTCTACATCTCACTCATAATTTGCCTTAGATTTCCAAAACTACGACTAGGATATTACTGAATCATTTCCGATGGGACAAGGAAAAGTTGATGGAGAGATTCTACGATGGGGACCAAGATCAACTGTTTTCCGAGGCGAGAGTCATAAACCCATTTAAACAAATGAACATTAGCACTAAAACCAAGGTGGAAAAGAAATCGAGTAATGGCACTGAGGAGTGCGAGATTTGTTTCATGGTTCTTCCCTATTCTGTAAGGCTTATAAATTATTGTTAAACATAAAAATATCAGCTGTTTTCCTAGCATATGACTGGCTTGGAATGTGGACACCGATTTTGCACTCACTGCTGGTGCGAATACCTAACCACCAAAATAATGGAGGAGGGTGTGGGGCAAACAATTGCCTGTGCAGCTCACGGATGTGACATTTTAGTCGATGATGCTAGTGTGATGAGATTAGTAAGGGATTCCAAAGTTAGACTGAAATATCAACACTTAATAACCAATAGCTTTGTAGAGGTAAGAAACTATTCACACTTTTTTTTTGTCTTAAAAAGTTTAGTATGTGACTAAATATAATAAACAATCTTTCCATCAGCGCATTCAAAATGATTTGGCACGCTGATGACGTCACGTGACGTCTCCAGATACTAAAATAGCAGTATAATTCAATGCATGCGATTACGTCACAGATTACTATTTTTATCTTGTCTTTTATACAAATAGAATTGATTTTTACGCAATGCGGCATGAATATTCACAAAATAAGACGAAATTAGCGTTAAATCGGCAGATACATAACCTCAATTATTTGGCCGCATTTATATTCAAATGTCAAAGTTGGCTTTATGATTGACAATTTTTTTAACATACAATAAAGAAAATACATTAAAATAACAGGTCAGTGTAGAATAAATTCATGTTAATTAAGAATTTATTAACTAACCTCAAAACACAATCCATCCAACACGAAGTTATGCAACCCAATGCACAGACTTTAACGGCAGCCATTTTTATGTAGTTTACAACCCTTGTGCTTTGGGTTTGTGCTTTTTATACAGATTAAAAATCGTTTTAAACGTTTTGTTTTTTACAGAGGCACTTGTAAGCCTCAAATGAGGCCTTAAAGTGCCAAGGACAACCATTTTACTCCTCCTTTGTAAAAAATAAACCCTTTTCTATCAAACTGTCAAATGTCAATTTTAAGGTTAATTTATCATAACCCACAAATTAACCTTAAAATTGACATTTGTCAGTTTGATGACAGCTCTGATAGAAAAACGTTTTTTTACAAAAGAGGAGTAAAATGGTTACCCTTAGCACTTTAAGGTCTTTTTTAGGTATATAAGTGCCTCTGTAAGAAACACAACGATTATTAATCTGTTTAAAAAGTAAAAACCCGAGCACAAGAATTGTAAACAACATAAAATGACCGCCGTTAAAGTCTGTGCAGTGGGTTGCCTAATTTCGTGATTTTTAGTGTACGCGAAACGAGATAGAACAGACCTTGTTGTGTGAATTGTGCCTCAAACTATTTGATAATAATAATAATAATAAACATCAAAAAGTTCAAAGATTGTTCTTCACTTAACCATAAAGTAAAACAGTATTATACTGTCAGTAGAAAATATATAATTTAAATTAGTACATAATAGATGACAAACATGAACTACAAAAATTAAAAATTTCCGATGTATTAGAATTTAGTAAAACAAGAAGACACAAGTGTCAGTACAAAAGATAAATATAAAAGTAGTGCGCCTACAATTAAAAAAAAACAATTTCAATAATATTCTTTAACAATTTCAATATTAATTTTTCTGCGAAAAGAGTTTAACAAGTTATGGCTCTGACATACAGATGTCGCCGCTAGTTCTACATAACACATACTTCCACACATATACAAATCATTTCTAACTGAGACTGTTTCCATTTCGTGGGGTTAAAGTAGGGGAGGTGAGAATCACACGGTAGCAGGCATTGAGGCGCATGCGTGGTGTCATTGCCGGTTTAAAAAAATACCATATTTTGACCCTATTTGGGAAGTATAATAAATATGTTTTAATAAATTGGATGAAAGAAAGCATTTAACAATAATAAACACACAAAATGATAATATTTTAGATTTTATAATCTATGATAGCCAAAAGGTTTTTGTCATGGACATTCTAATATGTAGATGGTTTTTATAATTTACCATTTTGTTTGTTTTCTGTTGTAGCTATACCAATTGTTTTGGCATTGTTTTTTTCCATTGTGAGATTTTTAGTTATTTAGGTGAAAATTCTTATCATACGTGGACGTATTACTATGTCTATGGTAACATATATTTTAAATCCCCCACTTATGAACTGACTATGCGCATAAGTTAAAATAATACGGCAAATTGACAAATTTTCCCTCAGAAAAGAAATCAAGGTCATCTTTACAAAATATAGCTAATAAGCGGTATATGCATAGAAGTATGTGGGGCATTAAGAGAGGGTTTCCATATTATTTCCAGTGTAACCGCTTACTGAGATGGTGTCCTTCCCCGGACTGCAGCAACGCGATTAAAGTGCAATACGTGGAACCGCACCGTGTGACTTGCAAGTGCACCCACACGTTTTGCTTCGCTTGCGGCGAAAACTGGCACGACCCCGTCAAGTGCCATCTGCTGAAGAAGTGGATCAAAAAGTGCGACGACGATTCAGAGACCAGCAATTGGATAGCGGCCAACACGAAGGAGTGCCCCAGGTGCAATGTGACCATCGAAAAGGACGGCGGTTGCAACCACATGGTTTGCAAGAATCAAAATTGCAAGGCGGATTTTTGCTGGGTGTGCTTGGGCCCGTGGGAGCCCCACGGCAGCTCGTGGTACAATTGCAACAGGTACGGCGGTTGTTTTGCACCTTTCGGCTTGCTTTGATTTTGTTGTCGTCGTTTAGGTACGACGAGGACGAAGCGAAGGCGGCACGGGATGCGCAGGAAAGGTCCCGCTCCGCGCTGCAGAGATACCTGTTCTACTGCAACAGGTACATGAACCACATGGCGTCCTTGAAGTTCGAGCACAAGCTCTACGCCTCGGTCAAGGACAAGATGGAGGAGATGCAGCAGCACAACATGAGCTGGATCGAGGTGCAATTCCTCAAAAGGGCCGTCGACATCTTGTGTCAGTGCAGACAGACGCTCATGTACACCTACGTGTTTGCTTACTACCTGCTGAAAAATAACCAGTCTGTGATTTTCGAAGAAAACCAAAAAGACCTTGAAGGTGCTACTGAAACTCTTTCAGAATATTTGGAGAGGGATATTACGTCTGAGAACCTTGCAGATATTAAACAAAAAGTTCAGGACAAATACAGGTAACTATTATTCACTTACTTTTTCTAAACGCATTCAAAACGTCAAAATAAAAATCCTGCCCAAATCCCAACCCTTAATTTCGATTTTAACAGGTGCATCATCGAGTTTTAATTCAATTATAAATTTCACGGCCTTGAGACGTCATAAGATACAGACCGCTTCCAAAAAGTAAGGAAGTAATAAAAGCCTATCAGTAACAATAAATCGGTCACAGTAAGTTTGTAAGGCAATTTTAAGTATATACAGGACCACTACCTGTGCAGGTAAACCAAAGTACCTCTCTCCCGATGTCTTACAGAATCAGCAAAGCGCTAATAATAGTTTCTGATTGAATATGTTTATAAAATAATAGCACTTTGCTTATTGTTTAAAATAAAAAACAATAAGTAGAGAAGTGCTATTATTTCATAAACATATTCAATCAGATATCTACTACTACTGCTATAAAATGGATCTTCAAATTAAAAAAAAAAACTAATAATAGTAGTGCAGTGCAATACAACAAGTGAAGAATGTAAGAAATCAGTTACACTACCTGTACAGGTGTACCAAAGAGGGTCAGTAGCAAGTTGCAACAAAAGATAAGTTCAATAGCTTTATGACCTTTGGTCTTTTAGGGTAAATAAATAAATAAAAAAAAAAACCGCATGATTTAATTTGCGTTCTCTACTAAGAAAGTAACCTTGCATTTTCTCGAAGAGGTTAAGCGTCTTCAACGCATCTAAACCAGGAAAACAAAACAGCCAATCAATTAAAAGAGAATTCCCACAAGACAGCAAACGTAATTATTCGTATAAATCTGTACAAAACCAAAACCAAAACTAAACAAACATCCGTGATACGCAATAGACGTTGACATGAACAAAAAATCAGTCATCAACAATTAACATGCCAACACACCACCATTATAAAAAGTCTTTACTGAAATAAAGCTAAGGCTTATGCACAGTTTATCTACTAACTTTCCTTTACAGATAATTTTCGCATAAGTCTTTATAAACTAAAAAAAACTATTGATAACTAGCGGTACTCACATTGCCGACTACCAAAAACTATCTATCAATGGTTCTCGACCATAGACTAAAGAAAAGGTTTCGCACAGTGGGGCAAACAAATGCGGACTGCAATGCCCGAACTTTCAGCACCGTAATTTTCAGCAGACACGAACAGACAGTACTTAAAGACCATCAAGCAGCGAACTAACCACCCAAACTCCATTCGGGAACCCCAATTGAATACTAAATCCCTGGTTTAGGGGGTTCAGTCCATGTCCTCGAAAAACCAAAAAGACTTCCCTCCTCGTCCCGCACTCCACTGGGCTAAATCGGGCGTACGGCCCGGCCCGGCGACAAAATACCCACGGAAGTATATGAAAAGATTTGTTTGTTTCTTGTAGGTATTGTGATGGCCGCAGGAAGGTACTGTTAGAGCATGTGCACGAGGGTTACGAAAAGGAATGGTGGGACTACAATGAATAATTTCGTCTGTTTATCTATTCTGTAACTAGATCACATTAGTATTTATAGAATATGATAAATACCTAGTTACCTCATTAAATGCGGAATCTCATTTTCAAATCCGTACTAATAATTTATTTGATTACAAATAAGCGTATTCGTAATCGACTCCGCATAAGCTATTCAATAGTTCCGGGAGTGTGGCGCAATAAGTTTAGTAGGTTTTTCTATGGGTCATTCCATGTTGATTCGTATTTGCTTTGATATGGAATGACTCATATAGTATATTGTACATGATGGAGCATTTCTGATGAGTTAATTTAATTGGAACTGCATGTTCTGCATAGCGGTAAAGTAGACACATTGTATAAAGTAAATTTGACCCGCCCAATTTCATTTGACAAAAAAAAAATCTAGAATTTAATCGGTAGGACTCATGAGAAACTTTATCTATAATTAAATAGAATAAACAGTGTGTGTTTTATTCAAGATATATGTATATTTCTTCAGCGATGTGATACTATTTAAAATTGTTAACCCTAAATTATTTAATGTCACATATTTATAGAATTGTTGTTTTCAAATGGAATTTATTTTGGCATCATCACTTTATATAGGTACTGTACACTTTACAAGACAAAATTGAATATTTTTTGGTACAGGTCTGTTTTCGATTTTTTTAGGTTTTTAATACAAGAATATTAATTATTTTATATTGTGTAAATAATATTAATTCATTACACCATTTTCATGAAAATGATCATTGGCTTTTATTAATTGTAAAATGTTTGGTAGAATTGAATTAATAACTTAAACACTGCTCACTTAGTAGATTTCTAGTAGTGTACAAACTCGACGTAGAAATGTTATTTTTTTAGTTATATATTATACAATATGTAGTGTTTAAGTTAATATTATCAAAATGCCCAAAAATTATTTTTGTAATTGACGTGACAATTAATTTTATATTAATTTGCTCCACAGTAGGTATGTATTAATTTATTACATGATACATATCTGAAATTTAATTAAACAGTGATCATTAATTTATTTAACATTATCAAAGGAAATGTTTATTATATAATATTTTATTTTAGCACAAGCATTATGTGCTTGGCTAATTGATTAATTTTTTACCAAAAAAAAATGCAGGATAAACATCTTAAGGATAAAAACAACACAACAGTCATTATGAAATATTAATATTACTGAGAAGAGAGCTTGTAATATTTCTGCAAAATTGTAACTGTAAATTTGTAATATTGGTTTAATGGTAATTTGTGAGTTAGCTAATTTGTAAATAATTCACTTAAATTATAGTTTATTACTGCTATATTAAATAAAAAATATCAGTCAACAACGTGTCAATTATTTGCCCCACAAAATTGAGAAGAAACTGCGCGCGCAGAATTGTGCTCAGCTTTAATACAGGGGTGATTTAAATAAAAAATACCGAAAGGAAAAGCCGGAAAATCAAAATTCGCACAACTTTGGATTAATTTGAATAGATGGCGTTCGTAGCTGCGCTTCAAATTAAATGAAAAAACAGCCACAAATTCATTCATTCAATTGTTTTAGCGAGAAATTGGTTTAAATACTTAAGTTCTCAATTGTTTAAATTAGCTTAAATAGTAAAGTTCTCAAGGTAAGTTTGACAGATTTGAGCGACTGTGAAAACAATTCAGCGTCGTTTTACAGTGTTCAAATTGAAAGTTTCATAAGGATTGATAATCGCTTATAAAGAATTTTAAGTGGAACGAAGTTCACTGGGTAATCAAGTTATAAAATTTTTGTAGAGCATTTTATTCAAAAACGCATAACGCAACCGCGTGTGTTTTGGTTGCCTAAATTCCTTTCAAAATAAGATTAGGATTGGGTACCTCATATAATAAAACAATGAAAATAAATGTATCATTATATTTCATCTTATGATAATAAATAGGACTACAAAATTACTAAATAGGACAGCTCTATATATACATGCAATAAACATTACAGTTATCTATCAAAAGGCTGTTATTATTGCAGGTGATGTACAGTGTAGTATATAAACAAACTGAAACATTTATTGCAAAATAAATTATAAAAAGGCTGTAGGTATATAAATTTAATAATAATCAACCTTGCTTCAACAATTTTTCCCATTCAATGGGTGTACCAAAAACTTCTTGTTCCAACCACAAGTGATAGTGCCTCTTAAAACTATCCGACAAATCGTGAGTTGTACCCAAAACACTGTTCAAGCAGTTATCGATTGGTTCGTATTCACTATCGGCTATCTGTGTATACCTTCTATTATTAAATCTATCAACTGAAGCCCTTAGGGCGCATTCTTCGGCTTGGAAGTCCCATGGTCTCGCGTCCAAATCTAAAAACTTAAACATGAAACAAAACAAAGTAAAACAAAATAATTACCTACCGTTTCCGTATGCCCAATCGTCGTTCAAGCGATGCCGAACCTTCTGGTAGATGGCGCTTATTGTTTTCATGTTGGACTTGCGCCATTGCCGTCCCAAGTACTTGGTCTGCATTTTCAGCAGCTTCAAAACGTACAGCTGCGTCATGGCGTGCCTGACTTTGAGGGTGCGCTTCAAAATGGGCGCCGATTTGAACACCACCAACATCATTATTCTGCTGTGCTTCCATTTCGTCAATTTGTTCAGTATTCTCAGCAAATTGATGCAGGAAAACATGTTCCTCCACGAGTATGGAATCGCATCGCCGATTTCCAGGCTTTCTTGCGACAACTCCGGCTGGTCGCCGATCACACAGGACGGGAAGTCCAGAATTGGAATGCTGAAATTACCGAATTAACAAAAAAAATAATCAAAATTAAGTCGTCTTACGCATTCTTGGCTCCAACGTAAGCCATGATGTTCTGGTTGAAAAACTTCAAAACCAAAGGAATGCAATTAGCGAAAACCAAATGCTGCGACATAAACTCGAACTGATAAATATGGTTAATCTTAAAGTGCTTTAGTAGTAGTAACAATATGGCAGATACAGCTTTCACGATAATTTCCTTATGTCTATTGACATCAATTCCGAGTTTAGTGGATCTAAGAACGGTCATAGGCATCTCTTCGGGCAAAACGTCCGCCATTATGTTGATCGAATCGGTTTTTGCCTTTGAGGTAGGTGCAGCGGCTAGTAGAATTTTCAACAGTGCTATCATATACTGAGGTAAATTCGGCAACATGGCCTGATACAAAATTTCCGTCGGCGTCATGTCTATCTCGCCCTCGGAAGTGGACAGAGGGTTACGGGCCATCTCCTCCTCCTTTTGGATTTGTAACTCCGCCAACGACGTGTACACGTGCTAAAATTTAAAGGAAATAAACAGTGCGCGCATTCAACCTCTCGAACCTTACGTCTTTCAGCGTCTTTACACCTTCTAAAATGGGTTCCGGTAAACCGAAGACCGTGGTCCGGTCGTTCTGCAAACTGTAACCGACAAACTTCAAGCGAGCAGTGTCCAAAAACATGTCGATGTCCTTCTGGCGAACTTTGGGCTTCCAAGGCAAACCGCGCGGCAACAAAACGTTATTCTGCATGGAAGGCGACGCAGGCCTATTCTGGTAATTGCCATACATTTGGTTATCGTTATTTTCCGGCATCCTGCGCTCGTCGTATTCGGACATCTCGCTCATTTCGTCGGAATTTTCCCCGCTCATCGAGGCCTCCAACTCCATGCCCAGAGTCTCGTGATCGTCGAGGCTGCTTTGCTTCATCAGACTCTATTTTAAACAAATGTCAGAAATATTCCCCAACACCAAAACAAAACTACTTTTCGCCAACGGTGTTGGCATCTTCAGAAGCGAAGTGTAAACTGACTTTTAAAAAGCAACACACTTCAGACCCTTATAGGCAACCCCAAAAATAGATTCCTAAAATTGATTTACGAAATGGTAGATTTGGTAGATTTGGTAGGACAGAGAAATCGAGTGTTGCCCAACATATACTTGATGATGGTCATAGAATAGAATTTGACAACCTTAAACTTATTAAGGAAGTTAGGGAACCAAGTCTGATAGATAGTTATGAAAGTTTATGCATCTATAAGAATAGAAATAAACTTTTGTATTTGTAGTTTGCTAGTTTTTCTTTACGTGTTCACTGAAGCGATGACGGTCCAGGGTTTATTCAATCTTAGTTTATAATTAGTATAAACATGGTAGATTTTACATTTCACTTCTAAAGATGCAAAGATAAAAAGTCACCAAAGTTGTCCTTTTTCAAGTACACTCTATTTTGAAAACAATCAGATTAAGACATGCTGCGCGATGCACACAAGTTTCGGTTACGTATTGCGCATACCAGTCGAAGTTGCGAAGCGTACTTACCCTTCTGAACGGTCTGGTGTTCCTCTTTTGGTTTTGGGCTTCGAGAAGGTCCGAAGCGCTTGCAGGCGGCGATGAGGATCTCATGGTTTTCGCTATTTCCATGGTGTCTTCATCTTGTTGCGGCAAGCCTGCTTTGTCGCGCTTTTCGCGTTTCAGATCTTTCAATGTGTTCATACCGCCTAGAGAGACTAATATTAATTTCCACAGGAGAAGTAACACTTTTTTCATGGGGAAATGTGGCGCGGCGCCACTGCAAAACCTAGTAACCATGCCTAGTAGTTTGACAACTAAGAGGTCTTCTCCCGTGGAATTGGCTATTTCGTAGCAAAAAGAGTCCACATCGGTTTCAAATTCCGTACACTCTGTCGCTTTCTCGTTTCTTATTACTTCGGTAATGGTGTATAACACAGACAATATGACGCGCAAATCCTGAGAATCAGCGAGAGAAACGGCGATTTTTCTCATCGCCACGTGAGCTGCGGTACTATTTCTAAAATAACAAACAAACATTAGACGACATCTAGGCAGGGAGATCTATTAGACAGACTAATTGATCACCCTGTATCGTAACAATGGCAGCCATACTCGATTTCTATATTAAGTAAATCAGTGAAAGCACTAAAAGCACCTAGTTGGTAGAGTAGGATGGCGTTTTTGCGAGCCCATTGCAACTGCTCGGCATCGGACTGCATTTCCGCCCAACATCCCTGAGCTACATATAAAATACATCTGGCGCTTCTCATGCGCAAAGGCTTGCTGCTGATCTCCAGCTGATCCAGCAGCTTTAACACTACCGACTTTCGGTTCTCCACCGACAACCTTTGCCAGCTCGGCGGCAGATTGTACTGTTCCATCTGGTCTTCGAACGCCCGAACATTGAGGGTGAGCTCGGGCTGTTCGGTGTAACTGTACAGCTCGGCGATCTCGTTCGCGTGCGAGTCCGTGTCGTCGTAAACGAACTCCAAGTCTGGAGAATCGCCGCAACCCCCCTAAAACAGACACGCGCCCACTTAGTACGGCTTTCATTTTAAGGGGGAACACCACCATCACTCGTTTAGGGATCTTTTCCAAGGCATAGAGATTCTTGACATTTTTAACGTTATATACATTAAATTACCATGCTTAAGACATTCAGTTTAAGTTGACCTTTTTAGTTAGTTTAAGTAAGGTGTCCAACTTTCTAAAATAAAGGACACAGCTCGCCCTTCCAAAAAATAAACAAAATTTATTTTATCCGAAATCGGCAGTAAAGCCGATTTAATACGAGTATTGTATGCAACCCATTATACATTTTAAGATGTGTCTACTGCTCAACAGCAACTAAATAATATAAAAAAAGCACCGTCGCGGAGGTTGTATGGACCCTTTTATAAAATGTTGTTTAACAAAAATGATAAGTTAATTTTATTAATTAGATTAAAAAAGCGCCGCGGCGGGCAAATATATAATAACCGTCGCAACAAACAGTATACGTAGACACTTCCTACATTTAAATGACATTTGATTTAATCATCAATATTAATTATTAGTATTATTATGCTGGATTTATGCAGCACAAATTAACATTGAGATTAACATTAACATTAAGAAGTTAACTGAACGTAATCCATTGGAAGCTTTTATGCAACACATTAACATTAACTTTAGCATTAAGTTAACATTAAGAGATGGCCAACTTTTATCTTCTTAATGATAATGTTAATTTTTATTCCTCCTGCGCAGGTTTGCGGCGCAATTTTTAAATAAACCGTCAGTAATACCAACATACCCGAAAAAAAAATGAAACTTACTGCTGAATGATTGATTTTTTATTCAATGATTGTGTTCTTTGGTTTATTGTTTGACGTGGAGTTTATAGTTTTCATTTATTTTACTTAACAGATGCTAAAACGGTATTAAAACAAAATTTAAACAAACCAAAAATGTCAGATGTCAAAATTACTTTAACTCATACGCATGCTTAATTTGCTACTAATTTTGCTGCATAAATACCCTCCTATTAATGTTAAATTAATCTTAATGTTAATGTTAATTTGTGCTGCATAAATCCACCATTAAATGTGATTTCGGATCAAATATAATATGCCTCGGCAAATAATTTCCACATTCGTGATAAAAAATACGACTTTAATGCCTTGATACATGAATAACTATTATTTAATGTTTATTATTTGGTAGGTACTCCCAAAATTTCAGATTTTTATATTAATTATTAACCTGAGCACTGACCACTTTTAATAAAAAATTAGAACAAATCGTAATAAAGTGGGAAAAACTTAAAAACTCATAATAAAAAAAAAATTAACCTAAACCCTGACCTTCAAGGTTAAAAAATATCATGATATTTATATAAATATCCGATATACATATATCCATAATAAATATCCAATATAAATCAAGTGATATATATTTGCAAACCCTTAGGTTCGTAAATATCATGATATTTATATAAATATCCGATATATATCAATGAAATATATCCGATATTTTAAGTGATATATATCTGCGAACCCTTTAAAAAATAATAGAACAAATCCTAAAAGAGTGATAAAAAGTGAAGTTTTCAAAAAAGGTTTTTTCTTACTTTTTTACTCTTCTAAATGTACTTTTAAAGTTTTATATTTTTAAATTAAATTTTAACCTAATCCCCAACCACTTAAAAAAAATGCAATAATAAAAAATTAGTACAAACCAGAACAGTTGGTCACCTTAGTCTTAAGACTTAACCCAGACACACAAGTATCGGACAAGTCCTTTTTGGGTTAATTTATAACACAAAAAATACAAAATAAACAAAATTTATATACATAACCTCAATTATATAACTGCATTTAAATATCAAAGTGGGACTTTTTAAACTTTAGCGAAAATTCTATAAATTTTCTATATATTTTAATGGTAGGTAACTATTTGCATTTAGGTAGGTATACCTTGGAAAAAAGGAAATATTTTTGGCCATGGTGTTCCCCCTTAAGGGTAGATGATTATGTACATTAAACGCATTTCTCCCATATTCTTGGTTGATTGTTGTGAAGTTCATCGTAATAATTAAATTTTTAATACATAACTAACATTTTATTATAAGTTGAAACGTCAAAAATTCTGAGGTTATATGACATTGTCTTGTGTTACGTCTACAAAGCAAGAATTAATCCATATTTATATTGATTTTTATTTGATTAGGATTTAAGACTAAATAAACACCATGTACTTGCTTTTCAATTATTTACAAAATAGAAATCTTACATCTGAATCCTGTCTTTGACGTCTGATAATTTCTCTAAGCCTTGGCAAACCTCTTTTTCCGTTACCGTTGGGATCCATACTGAATCAACCAGCATTATTTAATTAATATTAACATTTTTTAATTCTACACATAAAATACTACAACATTTATTTAGCACTTTTATTATAAAAACATCGCCATTATCGCTATAGAACAACCCGAAGGGATATTGACCCATTTGTGCAGTGTTGCCAACGGCGACGCCGTACACCCGCGAAACTTTTAAATTCAAAATAAAACACCCAAATTGATTTGCTTCCTTATGTAAAAAATTATATGTAGCAGACTTTTAAAACATTATTTTAATGTGTCAATACATTCTTATATAAAACAGTTATTTCATATAAGGTTGGCAATCTTAAGATGGTGGTTTCTATTAAAAATGATTAACCATTTCATTATGAAATTTTCAGCACACTAGATTGCGACAGATGATGCAGCGTTCTGATTGGTTTATTGCTTTCTTTGGAAAGTAAATTCGCAATTAGTTATTTATGTATCAAGGCAGTAAAGTCGTATTTTTCATCACGAATGTGGAAATTTTATCCGAAATCACATTTAATAATACTAATAATTAATATTTATGATTAAATCAAATGTCATTTAAATGTAGGAAGTGTCTACGTATATTATTTGTTGCGACGGTTATTATATATTTGCTCTCTTAAAATGTATAATGGGTTGCATACAATAGTCGTATTAAATCGTTCTACTTTACTGCCGAATTCTTTTACTTTACTGCCGATTGTTGACTACTTTACTGCCGATTTCGGATAAATAAAATTTCGGTATAATTGACTTAAGTTTTTATTTGGCAAAAAAGTTACATTGTACAAAAATCATTATAAATAAGTAATGCTAACATAGATACAAATCTACAATGGAAAACAGGATGGAAAGTGCATATTGGTTAGATATGGCCCCTCAAATCATCTTAAAAATATTTTTTAGTTTTATTATTGGAAAGTAATTTAAATGTTTAATCAACATCATTTAAATGAATAAAAAAACAACTTAAAATAGAGTTAAAAAGCGTATTTTTTTGTACATTTAATTAGTTATTTGAAAATACAAGTTAAATCAAAATATATATTATTATTACTAGCATTATTCTGGATTTTTTAAAACTTTTTGCTATATCTAAAGCAGCAGAATTAAAAAAGATCACAGTTTTTTATAGGGTGAATGTAAAAAGAATTTTTTTTCGGCCAAGTTATCAGTATAAAAATTGTGCATTTCTGATTTGGCGTTGAGACCTAAAATCACAAAATAATATATTGACAATACTTTGGTTATATTTTATTGACTCGATGGAAAATAGTACGTTTATGGCGATTTTGAAGCAGTTAGAGTTCGAAAATAAATAAAGGAAAATACAGGGGTCCGAATTAAAATTTGTTTGTTTATCCGCACAGCAACATACCTAAGTTGTCACCTGAGCTTATTTCGTGACGCATGCGCAGAGAGCATTTTATAATAGTTTCTACGCATGCGTAGATCTCACTCTAAGCCCATATGATCGCATTGGAATTCGTGCAAAAATTATAATACATTTTTTTGTGGTGGAAGTCGGACCCTGTTTAAAAACCTTTTTTTGATTTTAGCTGTAGATACTGCATTAAATACTAACTAAACTAAACTAAAACTTGTGTATAAAAAATATATAATAAAAATAAATTATCTTAAATAAAAAAATATAAAATCTCTAAAACTGGAATGCTATTGAAAATGTTCCATTTCTAAAAAAATCACATACTGAGTGCAAACATTGTAAAATCTTGAAAATAATATTAACCTACATAGATTCTAATCAGGGAGATTCAGCAAGTCTATTTTAAGAATTATTTATATTTAAAGCGATTTTTAAGAAGTTGCCCTTTAATAAAATTGGAATGCTTATTTCTAGAAATTTCTGTTTTTTGGTTGGAAAATCAGTCAATAAACATGTTGAGACATGCTGATAGGGCGTTTAAACATCATTGAATCCTCTGTAATGAAAAAACATTAAAGCAATATGAACACAAAATTTTGCCAAAAAACCTAACAAAGTGGTAAAGGCCTAAACGCTAAAAAACAACTTGTTCCGAAAGTATTGTTTTATAGGTTCGTAGATCTGATACCTGAGCGATACCATTTCGGGAATATTCTTGATGCCGTGAAACAGTTCAGAGTCAGTTTCAAGCATAACAATCGTGCCGACAAACACCGTAACCGTGACGATTATCAACGTCGGAATGAACGCCTTGAATACGTTGAACTTTTTGGTTTTCTTGGCCGCGTGCGCGGCAGTGTTCTGCGCAGCCGTAGCCAAACAAATCCTACCGTCCAACTGAGAGTGCGACAACGGCGTCTGACTGCGACTCGATCGATGAGAAGGATTTGTGGTGTCGTAGCCGCGATAGCCACTTTCGATTAACTGAGACTCCGAAGACGAATGCTCGAACGAATCGCGAAAATAATAATCACTAAAACGATCCATCGAATCATCTTTTAACACTGAAACAGAAAAAACATTGCATGTAAAGATGGTTAGCATTTTTTTCGTTTTCTTACCGGAAGTTCTAAGTTTTGATCCCATCGCTTCAGGGTCCTCGCACACCGTTTCCAAGGCGGCGACATCGCTGTAAGCTTGCGGAATGCCATCCAAACCTGACAATATCCCGGTGCTGCAGCTGCTTTCCATGCGCGATCCTCCCGCGTCCGAATGACAAGACCTCGGCAGGCTGCTGTAACCTAGACAACCGAGCGTGCGCATTAGTCGCTGTCCATATTAATTTTTTGTTTTACCCACGATACACAAAAACCGGTATGCTGGTGACGTCACGTGCGAAGGCATACGCTATGCACGGGTGTTTTACTACGATTTCTTTTGAGTTTTTTTCTATTGTGTTTTTTAAGTAGAATCCGCACGATGGTTTTACAACGTTATTCGTATTTATAAGCCACGCACGGGTGTTTTATACCAGGTTATTTATTAAGTTTGTGTTACATTTGTGGGACTTAATAACTATTTAAAATATGCTGGCCTGTGCTGTAGCAGACAGCAGAAATATGAACAGAAACCCAACCTAACCTAACATTAGACATTTTCCAAATAGCGCATTCATCCATTGTGCTGACGATTTCTTTTGAGGTTATTTCCGAAATTATTGTGTTTTTTAGTATAAGCTTTTGTCTCGCACATGACGTCACACGGTGCGAGAGAGATTTTTCGTATCGTGGTTTTACCTAGGTGAGGTTGTAGCGGGGTTGACGGGGTGGCGGGAACGCTGGAGGCTTTGCGCCTCAAACTCGACGTTCTTTGAATGCTCGGCTCTTCTCGCGTCAGCGAGCCGGTGTCTTCGAGAATTTCGCGCTCCGTGCGGCCGGTGTACTTGAATTTCGTGCCCCACGAGAAAAAACCGCCGCCGGTGACGACTGACGGCGCGTCCGAACTGGTTGGCAAACTGGTTAAATGACATTAGGTTTTGCTACAAAGCCACTACTGTGCATCGGGGTCAGCGTTGCCAACCCTAGGAACATTTTTCCAGTCCGCGGGGTTTTTCTAAACTTCTAAGATTATGCAAACAAAATTCGCACAAGTATAGCACGCCGTTTCACTTTTTAATTGTGAATTTTTTAAATGTAAAAAAAACTATAACGGTTTTTTGAAATTTTGGAGTATATAATTTTAATAATGTACAAGCAGCATTTTAAGTAAAAGCGTAGAGCTTTGAGGCAATATTACTTAATTTAAGTAAATATTTTGTTAAATTAACCTTAAAAATTTACTTTAAAGTAAAACTTTCTTTAAAGTTATTTAATAGGTTTTATTTATGTTATTTTTACCTATTTTAATAACCCTTAAGTTTCAAGACTTTAAAGTATTATGAGGGACGTAATTTTTACGAAATAAAATTACTTATAAGTGTATTTCACCTAAAGGAAAATTTAACGGTAATTTTAACGTCAGAATTTTTACTTAATGGTAAATGTTACTCATAAGTCATAATTTTACGATATTAAGACCACTTTATAACCGTAAATAATTCCTATTTGCCTGGTATTTTTTTTAAGATGTCATCCATTAGGGGCCGTTCATTAATTACGTGAGACAATTTTGGCGATTTTTCGACCCCCCCTCCCCTAGGTGAGATGTCGTGAGATTTTGCTCGACCCCCTCTCCCCCCCTTAATCTCACGTGAGATTTTTTAAAATGCATGGTCTTAATGTAAATAAGTTAATCTGTGCTTGATTCCATTAGATTTATTTAAAAAAACAATTTGCTTATAATTGTTTACTTACTTTAACCCAGTTTTCTCGCAATTTTACACTCTTTCTTTCGGAAAAAAAATTACGTGATATTTGCCGAGAACCCCCCTCCCCCCACGTGACATTTAGTGAGGTTTGGCTCGACCCCCTCCCCCCCCTAAACACCTCACGTAATTAATAAACGGCCCCTTACTTAGACCAGGGTCGATAATTTTTGAAACCAAAAAAAATAACAGTAGGATAAAACCCATTGGAAAAGGAGAAGAATATAATAAAAATTAAAGGAAAAATAAATTACGGGCGATCTGACTTCGGGAAGTGGGAGGGGGGGGGTTTTAAGGGTAAAAAATGGTTTATCTCGATTTCCAGCAAAACTACAAGTCCTATGGAAAAAAGTTAAATGGCAAAGTTGTAGGTAATAAAAGGATCTACAACTTTTGTAATTACAATTTTTTTACATAACCTCAAAATTTATGTGAAAAATTCAAAAAACCAAGTTTTTGGTTTTTTATTTTTATCTTTTTCAAAAAAAAAATTTTTTCCACGAAATTTGGTGAAAACTTACCTTTTTATGTCCCAAATACACTGTAATTTATTTGATTTGAAATATTTATTATTTCGCCTTATTTTGACTTAATATCAAAAAAGCACCCTAATTTTCAATCGAAAATTCTCGCGTCAAAATATCAGCTTTTTTCAAAAAGTCGGTGTGCTTTTTGTTCGTTAAAATCTCTACTTTCTGATGGTGTAAAAAATATATACATTACTATGGTAAATGTTCTCAGAAATTGCAAAAAATATTATAATGAATAACGAAAAAAACTCGAATTCGAAAATTTATTTTAATCATTATGTACAATTTCATCAAAAAAATGTGATTGTTGCAATTTTTTTTAGTTAAAAAGTTTATTTATTAAATTCTAATAACATTTATGTCAGAAAATCTCATAAAATATAAAAATACATGTAAATCATACTATTGAATTTAGATACTTCATTCTGATTACGTTATTCATTATAATATGTTTTGTATTTTCTGAGAACATTTACCATAGTAATGTATATATTTTTTTACACCATCAGAAAGTAGAGAGTTCATCGAACAAAAAGCACACAGACTTTTTGAAAAAAGCTGATATTTTGACGCGAGAATTTTCGATTGAAAATTAGGGTGCTTTTTTGATATTAAGTCAAAATAAGGCGAAATAATAAATATTTTAAATCAAATAAATTACAGTGTATTTGGGACATAAAAAGGTAAGTTTTCACGAAATTTCGTGGAAAAATTTTTTTTTTTGAAAAAGATAAGAATTTTTCACATAAATTTTGAGGTTATGTGAAAAAATTGTAAATACAAAAGTTGTAGATCTTTTTATTACCTACAACTTTGACATTTAACTTTTTTCCATAGGACTTGTAGTTTTGCCGGAAATCGAGATAAACCATTTTTTACCCTTAAACCCCCCCCTCCCACTTCCCGAACTCAGATCGCCCGTAATTTATTTTTCCTTTAATTTTTAATATATTCCCCTCCTTTTCCAATGGGTTTCATCCTACTGTTATTTTTTTTCTCTACTACCATTTTTAAAGGCTTCTGCACTGGTCTATCTAAACATTTATATGATATTTTTTCATAAATATTTTTCTAAAATATAATAAAGAAAATTTAGAGGGTATATAATTTTTAAGATATATCCTGCCTATTTTTATCAATAAAATAATGTGCGTTCGAGTTTTAATGCAAAATATTATTAGTTTTGACAATGTAAGTTATATTTTATAATTTTACTCTAGGGTGACCTTTATTACTTTGTAAGTACCATTCTGTAAAATTTAAATTAAAAGAACAAAGAAATTACGAATGTCAATGTTTTTGAAAGAGAGAGCAAACAGTTAGTAATTATAACGTTATTTTTACGTAAATTTGTGGTATTTATATTGTTTTTATTACGATATTCTCTTAGTAGATCAAGAAGGTTATTAAGTAGGTAAAATAACGAAATAAACCATTCCCCAAATTTGGTAATTTTTCGTATCTATACCGTTATAAAACCGTTTTGATTAACCTTATAAAATACTTTAAAGTTGACTTAGTAGTAAAGTTGTAGTTATTTAAACTTAAAATGCTGCTTGGGGTAAGACAAATTTAATGGAAATATTAAGTTAAATATTAATGTGTCACATAAATATTGCTATAAAAAATAATTTTATAAACACTAAGTGACCTTGTAATACACAATCGTTAAAATAAAGTGCCTTTCTTGTAGAATAATTCTAAATGTGAAAATTATTTTATTATCTTAAAACAAAAGTATCACATAGTTTCTTGACGCCAATATTTGAAAATATGAACGTTTGAACCTTTTGATTTCAACGTAGTAGTGCAGTTAACTAAATTTAACTGAAAAAGCGTTAAAAAACTGCTTCTGTATCGATTGTTAGTCTATTTTCAAGGGATAAATTTTGATTTACATAGAAAAATTTGAGATTTTAACGCCGGTAGAAATTCTAAAGGAAATTACAATAAATACAACTGAAACTTTTCGTACCTTTACCATTTTCCCGTGTTTATACTTTTTAATTGTAAAAAATCAAAGAATCAAATATGAAAATTACGTCAACAAAATATATTGGGATGGTTACTTTATTTTCGTATAGATGTCGCTTTATACAAATATTTAATTTAAATAATTTTTTAGATTATATTAAGTATTTGTTGTAGAAAAAGTTTATTATGCAACTCGTTTATAAACTTTTCAAGGCATTTAATTAAGAACTCGCTCGCAAGCTTCGTGACTAAACTTGATACATAATAAATACTATTATATTAATGTATTATTTTAAAGGTATTAGTGCAAATTATTTATAAAAATTAGTGCAAATTGTTTAAAAAAATACTTAACTTAATTTTTGTATGCAGTTAAAAAGTAAAACGGCGTACAATATACAGTAGCACAAATTTTTAAAAAATCGTAGGAAAAATTCATAAATTGTTTCGTATTTTTAAAGTTTAGTAAGTTCCAGGACATTTCTTAATTAAAAAAAATTCCAAGGGAAACTAATTCTCATAACCCTAGGGGATAGGAAAAAAGTTGGCAACGCTAGGGTTTTAACGGTGTTTTTTGTGTTTTTGCGTGTTCATGCTAACGGCCAAAATGTGTAGAAAAATCATGCAAAAGACAAAAATTAAAAACTTTTACTTGTAAGGTTTTTAAAGTCGTCCTTTTAAATTATTTCCTGAATAATATTTAAATATGTTTCGTAATGTTACGCAATGATAAGATATGGACAATTTAATTATAGATTATCTCATGTTTTATGTAACAAATAACATATTGATTTTTTATAAAAATAACCTTTAAATCAATCAATTCTGTAAATACAAAAACACATCATGCACTGTAAAAATAGAGAATTTGCTATAAATTTCTACTCACGTAAAAAATAGCATTTGTTCAATGGCGCATCTCCAGACATGCCTACAGGCGCCTCCAGATGGACACTTAAATCCTACAGTGTGTTTTTTCTAAAAAAAAAAATTAATAATTCAAAAAATTTAAGATAAAAACAACAATAATAATACCTCATTGTAATTTAGATGTATAATAAACATTTTCCCTTCATAGTTGATTTTTTGTATATCCGGCCACCTGAAATGATGCGTTTTTCGGCTCCCTTGAAACGTTAAAATCCCGCTATAGTTTATTCCTAAATATAATTGAGTTCCTTTATGGTCCTGCAAAAAAAGCTATTTGAATAATTAATAAAGTTTTCTAAAACCCATTGCTGATATGTTTTTTAATTAATTTACCTTAACAGGATGCGGATCGACACCATAGGTGTCCAATTGACAGGCTAATTTTAAAAAAGTGTTTTCAACTTGCGAGGGACTTTGTCCCTTAAGTTGTTTCTGATGTATCTCCATTGCTTTATCTTCTATCGATTCGGTCTGTTTCAGCAATATTTTTATGTCAGACACGTAATTGCCTGTGTGAATTTCATTATCATAGTCCCCTAATTCCCCTGGAAAGTGAAATTACTTGTCATTTAACTTTTCCAAATTGGTGGTGGAAATGTTAATATTTACCTTGTAAAATTAGAGCAGCCAACATGCAAGCTTCATTAACAGCACAATATAACCTCCCATGTAATAAATCTCTTTTTAATTGTAAAAATATTTGGTATCTCGTTATTTCTTCTTTAAGGCGAAATGGATCAGGTGGATAAAATTTGACACGAAAACTAAATAACACTGGATCAAGGTCTTTCACTTGCTTCACTATAGATTTTCCTAAGTCTAACCAATGCTGTAACAGAATAGTTCGTTAGAAGTGAAATGATATTACAAATAAATAAGTGAAAATGATCTTAATATACAAGGAAACCTGGTATCATGAAAAAATAATTTAATACAAATTTGAAAGCCTTATAAATAAAGAACATATACCCTCTGATCCTGTAAGTCAACATATCTTAATCCCAAATAGTCTTGTTCCACTAAATTCAACTGCTGACATACATATTCCAACAAATATTTCCCTTTATGCTGAGGCTAAAAAAACCTCTTATTACGCTTTTTTCTCACAAAATATTTGATTACTTTACCCTGTATTCACATTCCAAAATTTCCGTATCCTCCAACAATCTTACCGTACATTTAAAAACTATGTTACTGTCATTTTTTGAACCAAATTTTAACATTTTTCCCTTTTTTCATATGTGATTTATTCTAAAAAAAATATACGTCCAGTTTAGCAATAAACATGAAAAATAAATAATAGACAATTTTGACACATATTTTTGACAGTACGGTGTTTATGTTGGCCCCACTGGCACACGGTGCTGCAACCTTAAAACATAAAAGTCACTAAACATATTTTGCCCAAACATTTAAAAATATTATATTAATTTGGTGTTACGTTGACAACACATGTGTTTTGACGTTCTTTGGTGTACGCTTTCCACCATGGAAATAATTCTATTATTATTATTAGTTATATTAGTATTATTTCTATGCTTTCCACTTTTGCCGTGCAGAGCTAGGGTTTTTTGGCGAGTTAGGTTGGCTACCAACATAAGCAATAAAATCATGTCCGCTTGTACGTCATTTTTGTTTGTTTATGTTAGAAAATGATTTTAAAAGTAACTATTTACATGAAATATAAATAAAAATGTACGAAATAATATACACCCATATGCCATCCACGTAAAACGAAAAGGTTTTGATTGTGTTATTTACTTACTATGAAAAAGAACTGCAAAAATGGACATCCATTGGAATATAACTTTGTTAGTTGTTTATTTGCAATTATTGAGGAATGTTTGCACCAATTCGGATATTAAGTTAATCGCTGAAAACCTCAGTCAAGACATAAATCTTATTAAGAACGAAGAACTTGGTATTCCTTTTATAAATGTAAGTAACCTAAGTGTCATTTCATACCATAATTTATTGTGTATTTTTGCAGAAATTTTACAGTAATTTTAAATTTGCATTGACCAGCATTGAGGCTCACAATGATGTCGAAAAAATGGCTCAAAAATTAAATGACAAAGTTGAGGATATATTCTCATCTCTGCAAAATGCACAGTTATTTCTTGAAGGGGGCCGATCGACTGTGAATACCAGTATCCCGTCTATTTTTATACCATGTTTACCGGATTCTTATGATGCCGATGAACAAGGTTTGTTTTCGGGGAGCATTTTTTCAGAAAATAACACACTTTTCAACCACTTGGAAGTGGGATCAAGTATGTATTAATGCCCTGTAGAAACAAGCGTTATATTATTTTTGTAATATGTATAAATCTAAATGCCTAATTTTTTTTTAGTATTACACAGGGTAAAAAATAACATGGGCACCATTAAGAATGCAGTTAAACAACAGTTTATTATAACAGACAATGAACATACTAAAAGCAAATATTCTCCATTTTCTGGTTGTAATAATCATGATGATTCTATTGTTTGGAATAATTATATGAGTAGAAATAAGTATGAACAAAGAAATGTTATTTTAATATTAGACCATGGCGGATCTTTGAACAAGAAACAAATAAACATAGTGAAGTCCATGGGTAAGTTACATATATAATAGGTTAAATACAATATATAGGGCCCAGATTATATGCATTTGAATATAAAGGCCATTTTTATTGGTTACTAGATGACCCAGTGAACTAATTTCTTGCTAAAATGATTGAATTTGTGGTTATGTTTTTTTATCTGAAGCGCAGCTACGAACGCCATCTATTCAAATGAATCCAAAGTTTTACGAATTTTGATTTTCCGGCTGTTCCTTTCGGTTTTTCCTAATGTATTTTTATTTAAATAAAACAAAAAAATATTATTTATAAAAAATCATTGTAAAGCATTAATTTTTTAATGTAATTTCAGCCAAACAAATAGTGATTTCCTTACATGAGACTGATAGAATAGCAATGTTCGGTATATCGGAAAACATAAGCGTCCCAGACAACACAAACGATTGTCCCACTTACAACTCAATTTCGAAACCTGCAAACGTGACATCAAACCTAAAATACAGCGACTCGACATACAAGCATTTGTTGAACAAATTCATCGACTCGTTGGTGCGAGGTAGCGGCGCTACAAATCACACCATGGGTATGGAGACGGCTCTAAAAATAATACAAAACGAGTCTGGCAAATTGAAGAACAAAACCGTCATGGTGCTTTATATAAGCAGGGGGTTGCTGTCCTCCTTGATGGAGCCGAAAATAGTTTTGGAGGTGATAGCGAGGTATTCGGAGAATATTACTACCTCCATGATAATCCACACGTGCGCTGTTATAGACGAATCAAAATCGATTTTGTACGAGACGGATTTTTTGAGAGATATAGCCGAACAAAATTACGAGAAATATAATCATTCCTATAAAACTTTGAGGAGGGTTAAGCCTGGTTTTATGCTGGCTATAAACTCTACTGATAGCGTGGGATTTGCCCTAAGTGTGTTTTACAATATTTTTAACAAAAGGAGGGACTTTAATACTGAGAAGAAAATATCTTTGCCCGACTGGGATAGTACTAGCAGAGGTAAAATGGCAGAAAACGAGGTAAAAGGCGAGTTCTCACATAATTCTTATTTCAGATTTGACTGTGTCTTTTTCGACTGGTTTTTACAAACACAGGCAATTTTCGATGATAGCAGCGGATGTGTATTTTTCCAACATAGCGGAAGACGTTACTTATTACAGTAGCAATCAAAAAAATTCGTACGCCTTTCTTGTGGATACCACAGGGCTTGTTTTAATGCACCCGTCATATCCGCGACCTTCGACTGTACACCACAAACTTACCTTTGTTGATATAAGCAAACTTGAAAAAGTTAAGGACGTGCAAGTTTTTAAGTATAAACTTTTAAGTGAAGTGAAGGGTTTGCACGAAACTACAGACACGAATGGCACCAGTGTGGTATGTTTTTACGTTTTTAGAATGATTTTTTATCTCAAGGGGGTTTATTGCAGGTTAAATATTATTGGAGAAGAATCGGAGATTGGTATATTATTTGCATAGCTGTTAACAACCAATACAACTTAAGACCGTTTAAGTCGATGTTATTTCCAAGTGCTTCCAATGCTAAATTATTTTATCAAAACTTGGACAGGGTGGATGACTATAAACTTTGCAAGCATCTGAATCAATTAGCTACAAAAGGTAAGTCATAAAATAGTTTAATGCAGTTGTCCTACAAAAAACAAAAAAATATTTTTTGTTTATGAAAAACGATACTCAAAAACCGGTATACCGTGTGACGTCATGTGAGAACCAAAAGTTGACTGGAATGTTATTTGCACTGCAAATTCACGTTATATTAAAAAATTTATGAATATAAAGACGGCCTGGATGCAATTATTAAGTGTAACATATTTTACCTTACATGTTTCCATGACACTAAGTGACCTTTTAAATAAACATTGACAAGTTATGGCTTTACGGCCCTTTAGTCACGGGCTGAAGTTAGCAACAGGTTTTTAGTCACGGGCTGAAGTTAGTTTTAAGTTAGTTGACAGTTGTCAAATGTCATACAATCGTTAAAATAAAGTGCCTTTCTTGTAAAATAATACTAAATGTGAAAATTATTTTATTATCTCAATACAAAAGTACTAAAGTATTAAATAGTTTCTCAATAGTTAAAATAAAGTGCCTTTCTTGTAAAATAATACTAAATGTGAAAATTATTTTATTATCTCAATACAAAAGTACTAAAGTATTAAATAGTTTCTCAACGCCAATATTTGAAAAGTTTATATGAACATTGTACTGACCTTTTAATTTCGCCGGCAGCAAACTATAACTTAAATTCGGGCACGGACTCTACTGTAAAGTCCTCATAAAACATTTCCTTTACTTTCATAAAACATTTCCTTTATTTTCAAGATATATTTCAATTTATAACCTTTATAATTGTGTTTATAAAATGTAAAAATGTGACATTTGACAGTTTCCCCTGTTGTTTCATAGAAGGCGCTCTATACAAATTTCTGATTTAAATTATTTTAAGATAATAATAAGTATTTGTCGCAGAAAAAGTATAGTATGCACCTCGTTAATAAACTTTTCTATACACTCGCTCGTGCCTAAATTAAATTCGTGTATAAAATGGCGTTTATCAAACTTGATACATAATATACTATTAAGCAACAATTAATTTCCTACCTTCCTATTATTATTTTTCAAAATATTTTTTATTTAATTAATTAACTTAACTTACGCTAGACCGAATTTTACATTGTTGTTTTACAAAAGTAAAAAAATCTCAAAACTGCTTTTTTTACTTGTGACACTTTTGAAGCGGGTTTCCAAAACAATTGTGGTTTAATTTTTATTATTAGTAAGAACAAGCTGTAAAAAATATGTGGTTAGGATGAAAAGTTACTATAAGTACCTAGCAAAAAATTGGGTATACCAAAATATATACTTACAGTTTTTTATTTTCATTTTATTTTTTCTCTTGCATGCATTCATCAACTGTGCTGCCAGCACAGTGGATGAATGCACTATTTGGAAAATGCTTTAAAATACCTATAATAGTTTGGTAATATTTGACTTTGTTTTCCTTAAACGATAATCTCTACTATGATGTCTTTAAGACACTCTAGATGGCAACACTTGTCCTTGTAATAAGTTGTTTTTAAAAACAAAAAAAAAACATTAAATATTACATCACTAGGTAAAAAGCATTACCAAACTACAAAGACTAGAAATATAGTTAAAATAATCATAATTTTCGCCCTCTAGATGCATCGTCTTTATACTTGAGCTTGTCGTGCTTCAAGTCTCCGTTCTACGCGCTAAAAACCAGCCAGGAAAAATTGATATCTCAAGGTTACCTGGCTTACCTGAAGGACGACACGAGACTGCTGGTGAACCCCGGCTTGAAAGACGAGGTGCGCGACGAGGTGGTCGCGCTAGCGCACATCATCGAGTTCATGCGCAAGCAGCACTTGACCTCGATGCTGTCCAAGTACGTGGTGCGCAGATACGCGACGTCGTACAGCGGAGTGCTGCAGATGTTCCCCGGCAGCATTTTAGGGCCGGGTTTGGAGCCGACGAAGCGCCCGTGGTTTTTGCGCGCGATCCAGCACCAGGACCGGGTGGTCTTTATTCCGCCTTACTTGGACGGCGGCGGCGCAGGTTACATAGTCACGATGGCGTACGCTACCGCGCAGACCGTCGCGGCGCTTGATGTTACGTACGGTTACGTGTACAAGATGATTTTGGAGTACATGCCGTTTTGTTTGGAGGAAAAGGTGACGTGTTTTTTGATGGACGATCAGGGTTATTTGATTTATCATCCGAATTTGATGCAGCTGAACGAGGCGAAGCCGATCGAACAAAAACACATCGTTCATAAGGAGTCGCTGGTGGCGAACGATATTTTGAATCACAAGCATTTTATACGGAAGCTGTTGTGCAATAATTATGGGAACAGTACCATACAGAGGTACTATAGACTGAATACGAGCTTTAGCGATGTCTTGGCGAATTTTGTGCCGGGAGAGCATTGCGTTACCTACCGAATTACTACAGTGCCAAATACGAATATATTTGTGGGTATCGTGAACGCCACTTGCGATGTAGTTGCCACTTTTTGTCCTTGTAGCGTGGTCGACAGGTTATGCTTGAATTGTAATAGGATGGAGCAAAAGGAATGCGAGTGTCCTTGCGAGTGCCCCTTGAACACGAACGCACAAACGTGCAATGCGAATATAACCGACAATAATCCATGTATGTGGTACACGGAGGATGTGTCTCAAGAGCCGCCTTTCATAGAGGAAACCGACCGGAATTTGGACAGCTGTTTCCCCGTCAACTGTCAAGCGGAAGAAACCTACCTGGATTGTCTGGGTTTGACCGGATGCGAGTGGTGCAAATTCGACACCGATGGCAATTACCTGCGTAAACCGTTTTGTTCTTCCTTATCGACATGTTTTAACGGCGTTTTCGGTTCGGCCACGCCCTACAAAGACAACACGATTATACTGCCCGATAACGCGAACTCCGACTTGAACCCCATCGGCCCCATACTGGGCTCGATCATAGCCATGTGCATTCTCTTCGTACTTTTGTTCGTGTGCTACCGTTCGTACACGACGCCGTCCACCGAGCGCTTGTACTTATCGTCGACGCAAGACAATCAGCTGCGCATGAGCGATCTCAACGTGAACGACAACTACCACGATCTGGGCAACCACCGCGACAAGTTGCTGCAGGAAGACCGGCCCGATCCGGTTTCGCCTTACTGCGTGGCCAGCACGTACAGGCGCGCCGCCACCGCGGCGGACTCCGATCACGGTTACTCGACCATGACGCCGCACGACGAGAGCGAGCACTTGTCGCTGGCGCCGGTGGAGGGCGACTCTCAGGAAGACGACTTCGGCTCCGACAACGCCTCGGTGCGCACCAGCGTCAGCGTGCCCGGTAAACATCACGCGTCTCCGCCGTGTTTCACCAGAATCCCCAACAAAAATTCCATTATAGTTCCGGTCACTGTTCACAGAAACATGGAGGCGTCGTGACAAAAGTTCACGTAATCCTAAAGACTGCCGCTATTTTCATTAATTAGGAGGTTGATTTATTAATACCAGTGTAGCTACTTATTTTTTTAAGTTTGAGCTTTAAACGCACTAATTCGTTTATCGTGCAATTATTTAACTGTTTTTAAATCTATGTATATACTGCCTTATACAGTGTAATGTTACTTAATTATGCCATATATTAACTACTTTTAATACAGTATTATTTTTTACAATATTTATTGATGTGTAAACATTAAGGTGATTCGTTTTAAAGGAGGTAAGGTAGAAATTTTGGGCCGCCAATATGCTTGCACAGTGGGCAATAATCCACATTCATTAAAACTTTACATTCGTGTTATCATTGATTACTTTGTTGATAATTGTTTTTAAAAGTAAAAAAAAAAATGATATATACGAAGGTCAGTGACATCCAGTAGCTCCCTGGTTTTGTCAAAAATTTCATATTTTTTTTATTAATGCAAAAATGGAAAAACTTTCTTGTTTTGGCATGTACTATCATCTCCTCAAAAGATGACAATTTATTAGGTGACACCCTGTATATTTAGACCTGTATTTTACAATTTACGGCAAAACGGTTAAAGTTACAGGTAAAAAGTTAAAGCGGGTTTATACAACAATTCATAATTTAGTGGGCAATTTATTTCATAATTGTTAATTTAATGCATAATTTAATATATATTTTATTTTTTCAAATGACAATATTGATAATTAAAAGTGACAAATAACACAAAATCTCTCATTAAAACTCATGTTTTGTAGGAACTTTGTGGTATTTTTAAGGCACAAACACAAAACACAATAATTATTAATTATAACCTTAAAAATGGAGAGAAAAATTGTTGGCACATGCGCTGTTTCATAATTCATAATTTATTTCATAAAAGTTAAATTTTATGAACTTTTAAGGTTATTCAATAAACACTAAATTGTGAGTTATGGATTAAATCGTTGTATAAACTGTTTCATAGCAGATATTGCGATTTTATGCTTATGCACTAAATTGTGAATTATGAAATAAATTAATGATATGAAGTTGTATAAACCCGCCATAATAAACATTAAATTGTGAGTTAGGGATTAAATCGTTGTATAAAGTGTTTCATAGCAGATAGTACGATTTAACTTTTATGCTTATACACTAAATTGTGAATTATGAAATAAATTAATGATATGAAGTTGTATCAACCCGCCATTAGGAAGATTTTATAGGATTTCCTATAAAAAAGTCCTTTGCAATAATGTAATAAAATGTATAGTTTAAAAGATATAGAAGAGCATTTATTTATTAATTAATTTTCTACAAAAATAGTTTTATGTATTAATGAAATAAAATGTTTAGTTTGGAACTAATTATTTTTATCGAAATTTTACCCTTAATTTATCAAATGCCCTGTATCTTTTTTTAAACTATGCATTTTATTGTATTAATGCATGGAATCTTTTTTGTAAGAAATTAAATTTTCCATAAAAATCTTGTTTACCTTTTACCTGTAACTTTAACCGTTTTGCCGTAAAAAGTACTTCTGTTTTTTTTATTAAAAATATAGGTGTAAATAGTAGTACCGTAAAAAACCGCCAAGCTATAGGAAATTGAAAAAAAATCCTTAATTTTCCATGTTAATTAAATGGAAAAACTTTAAAATCAAAATAAAAGTAAGATTAAAGGCATTTTTTATCGATATTTTGCTTTAAAATAAATCACCCTAGTATACATCTATTTTTTTACTAAACGCATGATTACTATTTATATTAACGTCGTACACTTGCCATTTAATTGTAATTGTTTAGTAAACATATAAAGTTGTTATTAGTCCTATTTATTTGTATTTGTGAAATTATGTTAGGAAGTATAAAATGTACTTAAAATTTTAAGGAATTGAAATTAGGTTTTCCATAATGTGGCATTTAGAATTTTTGTACCTGTACATTTTTAAAGTATGACTCAAACTGTTTACAAATAAATAATGATTTTGTATTTTTTTATCATTTATTTAAAAACCTTTTTTAAAAATATTTTCAATGTTTTACAATAATAAATTAATAATTTTAAAATATGAAAGCAATACTTTTATTATTTACAAAAGTTGATAATAAAGGCATAATGAGATGTATAATTTAAATACATATATACACAGTGAATTAATGTACAAAATGGGAAAAAAACTATTTATTCTTACTCTTAGTAACTTGATCTACAAGCTTTTGGTGGCTTAAAACTTCCTGAGTGAGGGCTTCAGATAATTTGTCTGGGGTAGGTTCAAATTTCAAGAAGTCGGCTATCAAATATTTCGGATTTTTGCCGCCCCCATGGGCCAAACACTCCCTTCGATAAATCTCGCCTTTGGACCTATCAAAAGGATCCTTTTCGAAGTAGGTCTGCCAAATCCAGTAGGCCAAAGCCCTTGACACCAAGTAGGAATAATATTTAGCCCCGTACCCCACCAAATGACTGAACCTCAGCTGCCAAGTCGTGTTGAGCACGTATGGTAAACTGTAGTACCTTTGCTGGGTCTTGGCCAAAACATCAGTGGTGCTACCCTTCATGGGATGCTCACCGTGATAAACTTGGTCCAAAGCGGCGTAGAAAATTTGCAACTGCGTTTTGCCGTAAAAAGTAATACTGTTTTTTTTATTAAAAATATAGGTGTAAATAGTAGTGCCGTAAAAAACCGCCAAGCTATAGAAAATTGAAAAAAATCCTTAATTTTCCATGTTACTTAAATGGAAAAACTTTAAAATAAAAGTAAGATTAAGGGCATTTTTTTATCGATATTTTGCTTTAAAACAAATCACCCTAGTAAAAATCTATTTTTTTTTACTAAACGCATGATTACTATTTATATTAACGTCGTACACTTGCCATTTAATTGTAATTGTTTAGTAAACATATAAAGTTGTTATTAGTCCTATTTATTTGTATTTGTGAGATTATGTTAGGAAGTAAAAATGTACTTAAAATTTTAAGGAATTGAAATTGGGTTTTCCATAATGTGGCATTTAGAATTTTTGTACCCGTACATTTTTAAAGTATGACTCAAACTGTTTACAAATAAATAATGATTTTGTATTTTTTTATCATTTATTTAAAAACCTTTTTAAAAAATATTTTCAATGTTTTACAATAATAAATTAATAATTTTAAAATATGAAACCAATACTTTTATTATTTACAAAAGTTGATAATAAAGGCATAATGAGATGTATAATTTAAATACATATATACACAGTGAATTAATGTACAAAATGGGAAAAAACTATTTATTCTTACTCTTAGTAACTTGATCTACAAGCTTTTGGTGGCTTAAAACTTCCTGAGTGAGGGCTTCAGATAATTTGTCTGGGGTAGGTTCAAATTTCAAGAAGTCGGCTATCAAATATTTCGGATTTTTGCCGCCCCCATGGGCCAAACACTCCCTTCGATAAATCTCGCCTTTGGACCTATCAAAAGGATCCTTTTCGAAGTAGGTCTGCCAAATCCAGTAGGCCAAAGCCCTTGACACCAAGTAGGAATAATATTTGGCCCCGTACCCCACCAAATGACTGAACCTCAGCTGCCAAGTCGTGTTGAGCACGTATGGTAAACTGTAGTACCTTTGCTGGGTCTTGGCCAAAACATCAGTGGTGCTACCCTTCATCGGATGCTCACCGTGATAAACTTGGTCCAGAGCGGCGTAGAAAATCTGCAACTGCGTCTCGCTGGCGGTGTACAAGTGCTTCGACGCGCACAACCTCTGCAACATTTCGTCAGGCATCGGCTCTTGCGTTTGGAAATGCCTGGCGAACTTTTTGAGCACGCGCATGTCGGAAGCGAAGTACTCCATGAGCACCGACGGCACTTCGGCGAAGTCCGTGCTGCACCGCGTGCCCGTAACGTGCTGGTACTCGGTCCTGGCCAGCATCGAGTGCATCGCGTGCCCCATCTCGTGGAAAAGATTGTCGACCATGTTGGGGGTGAGCAGCGAAGGGCTGGACCACCGCGGCACCGGCAAATTCAGCATTAGAACGACTATAGGCAGTTGATAGGTTTGGTCCGGCAGACTTCGTCCACCTCTAATCGTAAAGTGACAGTCTTGCTTTGGTTTTCCAGTTCTCTCGTAAAAATCGCAGTAGATATACCCCAGTAAACCTTCAGTTTCGTGTATCACAGATAGCTTATACACATCCGGATACCAGCATTCGCCAGGTGCTGTTTCCGTGTTGACCAACTCAATCCCAAATAGATTCTTGAAGAGCATACTCAAACCCTCCATACATCCACCGAGCGAAAAGTACGGACTAAATTCTTTATCGGTAACTCTGAACAAATCTCTTTTGGCTTTCTGCGTGTAATAGGGAACATCCCAAGCTTGTATTTGCGATGCGCCAGGATTTTCCTTCTTTTTCATCGCATCCATAGCTTGGAAATCCTTGATGGCCTCATTCCAGAGATCCTTGGTCAAATTATCCAAAAAAGTCGTCACATGTTGAGGCTCATCCAACGTGCTCCCCCTTAAAGCCCTTTGCGAATAAGTACTAAAACCCGCTATCTTAGCCAGCTCATCTCTAGCCTGGAGAAGGTGTTTTAAAATAATCTCCTGGTCAGGATCCGGATGAAGAAATATCCTATAAGCCACTTCTCTTGCCACGGGATTCACAGAGTCGGTATACAACCCTGAGACGTACACATCATCTCCATCAGAAGTAAAACTGCAAAAAACAAAGAAATCTAATCAAAATGCGCTCATTGTACACTGTCTGCTTTTGCGCATGCGCATTCAGCACAAACTTGTCAACTTGAGGACTCACGCAACCCTCAATGTAAAAGCACGCGTGCGACTTAAGGCGTATTCATGCTCACTTAAAATAAGAAATAAGAATAAGGAATAAGAAATAAGAATAAGGAATAAGAAATAAGAATCAAGATCGCAATCGATCGTTCATGCTGATAATATAAGAAATAAAAATCTTATTTCTTATTCTTATTTCTTATTTTAGTGAGCATGAATGCGCCTTTAAACCCGCGCCTACTATGAAGGTAAAACGAATTTCCAAATGTTATCTGGGAAGGTAAGGCAGTTTTAACTATTTTTTTATTTACAGTCTCACCATTGTAACAAACTAAAAAAGCTTTATTGACATTTTTGTTGGATATATTGAAAGATAATAACAGAGTTGCAAAAATGTAAAAAATAATGCAAACGTCATTTTTTTAAATGCTAATGTAGTTTAAATACATTAATCATTAAAAAAAATTGTAATGAGAAATATTTTCATTACTCATTAAAAAATAAAAAATGAGTAATGAAAGACTGTACATTACACACAGAGCTGGGAGTATCTTGAAAAAATGATACTTAAAAGTAACTTAAATACTTAAAGTATCTATAGATATCTTATAAGATCTTAGATACTTTGGAAAAGTATCTTGTAAATTTTATCTAAAAAAGTATCTTAGGTACTTTATCTTAGATACTTTGGAAAAGTATCTTGTAACTTTTATCTAAAAAAGTATCTTAGGTACTCAGTAAAGTAACTAAGATACATTCAAGTAACTTAGATACTTTAAAGTAACAAAGATACTTTTTAAAGTAACTAAGATACTTTTTGAAGTAACTTAGATACTTTTCAGTGTAACTTAGATACTTCCTTAGAGAAAATTGGGGGATTCCAGAATGATTTAAAGTAATTACCTAACGTAAAACTTGTTGAATTTTCATAATTTTAGTTTTTATTTATACTTAAAAGTAACTGAGTAACTCAAAAGTATCTTAGTTACTTAAAAGTATCCTAGTTACTCAAAAGTATCTTAGATACTTGAGTAATTTAAAGTGAGTACATTACTCATTAACATAAAAAATTGTTATTGAAAATTTCAAAATCCCATTACAAATTAAAAAAGAATACATTACTCATTGGAAAAAATGTAATGAGTAATTAACTTAATTTTTATTAAAAAATAAGTAGTGCATAATGAAAATTAAACACATTACTCATTATTTTAATATTATGTATTAAAACCTTAATACATTAAAAAAATGCATTATTTGCAACTGTGGATAATAAGATTATAATATTTAAGGAAGTAATAAGGCAATGTATTATTATCAAATGAGATTCAAAAGTACTGGTTGCATATTAACTATTAAAAGTATACTTACATGTTTTTTAAACCATTTGGCAACTGAGTTTTTTTGACAACCCTGGGCAGTGAACTACCAGACACAAACTGCTGTCCCAAATTCAAAATAATGTCATTTAATTCCACAATTCTGTTTCTCTCCATTTCAGGCAAATGAATTCCACACTGTTCGAAATCAAACATAAATAGTTCACCTACATAATTATCAGTGTCTGTGCATTTGACAATATCCCCTTTGAACACAGCCTTTTTCAGTGCTTTGTACAACTCTAAGTTGGTGTTTAGCTTTTCTACAACCCCTGATACAGCTAAACTTGCCTCTTCAGCAGCTTGACAGTATTCGTCGCGTGGGTGAGAAATTCTGATAAATTCCGCCAAGTCTGCTACTTTACATAGAGTATCAGATAATTCGTCGAATATTTGCACCATTTTTCTCTTACGTCTATGACTAAGAGCCTCGTTAATAAGCTTCTCTGAATGTTTAATACAGTCATCCCGTAACTCATAAAAGCCTGTAAAATTTGTCAATTGTGGCACACCAAATAAACCCTAAAATTAAATCAACATTATTTAAAAAATAAATAATAATAACGCCACATACCACTTGCTTTTTATTGTAATTAAACTTCTGATTAGGCCTAGTATTGAAACTTTCAGCTAAAGGAGACCACAGTGAAAATTTACGCTTGCATGCCTTATTTACACAGCGCAGTTGTTTTTGCACAAGGCGCCAAATCATTTTTGTTCTTGATTTATCTTAATTTGATCATTTAATTTCGAATTATTTACATTTAAATATTTTGACGGGGTTCCTAACCTCACTTTCAATTGTCAAAGCGGCCTATTCGCAGTGTTGCACTAACTGTAGGTACTAGTGTATTCTTAAATTCTTGTAAACTAAACTATAAACACATATATTAATAACAGAGGTCCCTTAAAATATATAACAAATAAGAACCTGCAAAATTTGTAGCCTGGTTTTATTGTAAAATTACAATAAAATGAACAAAATATAAGTGCACACTTTACACTTTGGCTTGGACAAACAAAACCAATTCAAATAATAGAAATTCGGGGTTTTAGACACATTTTAAATGCGTTCAGAAAGTTTACTTTCTTAAACAAGGTTTTTTGCGATTTTAATTGGTTTGGTTTACCATATTTTTTACAATAATTTAATTTGTTGCATATTTAATAAGATAGGAATAATTAAGGCTTGGAATTATAACAAAAATGTGTCTAAAGTTCCATAACGCAGAGCAAGTTTGTTATTTTCTCTGTAACCTCACATTTCCATTTTGTCGTGTATTATGTTCAAAATAAAGAAAATAGGCTAAATTTTCTCATATATTCCTGCACGTGTATGTTAAAGTGTGATATTAGTTCGTTTATTTAAGTTATTTAATCAAAAAAATGGAACCATACAATCAGGGGAGAGGGTTTTTTCGAAGCAGACCGAATAGGGAGTACAGAGGCAGAGGAAATAGAGACAGGGGGCAGTTTAGGCCATATAATAAGAACTTAAGAGGAAGAAGGCCGTTTCAAAGAAATCTATCTGAAAGGTATTTATTTTGCTTGTGTTATAAGTCAAAAATTACAAAATAATCCTTTGACAGGTATCCTGTCAGTTCTGTCGAATTTGACGATACAGGTGCTAGATTGGGGAATAACAGACGCGCGAGGAGCTTCCAGGATAACATAAGAAATGATAGAAAGCATTCAGAGCCTGTAGACCCCATAGCATTAAAAATTAACTCGTTCATCGACGAGGTACAGGCTCAGCAAAGTCAAATAGGAAAAAAAGTAATATTTATGGGGAGAGAGTCTTCTCATCCTTTAGTTCTTCTGCAAATTGCAGTGGACAAAGCCAAAGTTAAAATGGAGTTCAAACAAGGAGAAAAGTAATATTTATACACAGGTTGAATGTTTATCTTTATTTTTGTGTGTGTTTTTAGTGAGGTTCATTCTGTTTTAATGGATGGAGAAGTGTTAGCACAGGGTAGTTATACTAATAAACAAGTTGCTAAGGGGGCGCTAGCAGAAGAAGCAGTTAATAAGTTAAAAGAGGAATGTTTTTTCATTGTTAAGGTAATTTTTATACATGTCTTTCAAACCTCAAAAAAGTTAATTAATTTGTGCGTTTTTAAGCTCTTTTAGGTATTCTTCATGACTTACCATATAAATATACCATTCTTGTATTTGTAGTATTTATTTATTTGCTTTTGAAAGGTTTTTTAAATGTTTTACATGCAAAAATGTAGAGTGGACATGAACCTACAGCTTTTGCAAGTCACATACAAAAAAATTACTTAACACCCAATGTTGATATATTTGCGCCCCCATTTTATTTTTTGAGTTCCGTTATTGGGTATTTTGGTTTAATTTCATATATTATTATTTATTTATCCCTTTTGTTTATCAGGTTTTTCCCCATTTTTGACCCTATGTTCTTAAAAACTTTTTTCATATTTTTCGACGTAAAATTCCCACGCGGTCTATAATTTAAACTTTATTGTTGTCAACATTCGATAAAGAAATACCTTGTTATGGCCTAGGCCGAAAAAAAAATTTATGAGGCAAGTAATTAGTTCGATTTTTTCTCGCTAGGGGTATTATTTTGACAAATTAATCCTTTTATAAGAAATTAACGTATTAAACGGGTTTAATTTATTTGTAATAAGCACTAATTTGTTTGTTTTACTGTTAATGTTTAATATTTTTCATTAAATTATTAGGTTCATTCCAACCAGCAGTAATTTCCAGTAATATTACTGATACACATGCGCGTTTGTAAAATGTCGTTCCAACCAACTAAAATTACTAGTTTAGAACTGGCAATTACTGTCAGTTCGTCGTTCCAACCAGAGTTACGAACAGTAAAATTACGGTTCAAACGATTCTTGCTCGAGAGCAAGAACTGTTGATAATAAAATTAGACGCATGCGTAGAAGGGGCACATAACCTCATCTTTTTGTTTATTTATTAACGTTTGTAATATTGTAAGTTTGTTTTCTGTTAAAGTGGACATATTATTTAAAAATGACTGCTATACAAGGTGATTTTATTAATTTTTAATGTTAATACATCTAATTTTTGTCATTTGTGAGCAGGAATGGAAGAATTTATTATCAATGTGTGATGTTATTAAAATATACTTTTATATATATTTATAAACTCAACAAACCTGGGTTATATTTATTTCTAGTAGCAATGTCCCCAATAAAATCTAAATACTCGTCATCCGAAGAATCATAGAAGTAATTATTTAAAAAAACCTGCCATACTTTATTGAAATAGATATACCTATATGCGCTTTACTTAGGTTTTAGCACAATACAATTGTGGGTTTTAGGTTATATTCTTTTTCTTCTGATTGTGAGTACTACTAGTTCAAAAAAGGTTCCAACCAGTTTATACATTATTCAAAATAATTTTACTATTTTTGTTCGCGCAGTCGCATTAACGCTGTTACGGACGATAATATTACGGTAATATTACTGTTGGTTGGAATGAACCTATTGTAAAATTAAATATGAATAATAAAACAAAAAGTGAGGTTAGGCAACCCAGAAAACGCACGATTCTTTTTCTACGATTTAAACTATCGTAATAATGTAATAGCAAAAATCCATTTCTACTTAAATCATGTTGCTAGGTATTGTCAAACTATTACTGCTTCTATAAAAGCAATAATAAATATTGTACATTTAATGTAATCTTTAGCTAATAAATAAATGAGATTCTATAAAAGTGAGGTTAGGCCGCTTTGATGTTGAATTAAATTGACCTATATAAAGTGCTTTGAAGATAAAATGTTGTATGCCATTCGGCCAAGAAGTGCCTCAGCTATGCACAAAAAGCCTTACTTCTTAACCTAATGACATAAATAACTATTAAAGCTTGTGCCACAAGCCTTGTGGTCCAAAAAAGTCAACTTAACTGTCCTAAGAACTTATTTAAAAATGTAGCTAGGTATAAATGTCATAAGAATGTTAATTTAAACCCTTCCCGTCATGCCAGACAAATCTCTTAGGCGGCATTTTTATTTTTGAGTTTAGAAGGAAGGCTATGAAGAAATCTCTACGGTGAACCTGCAAAAAAAATCGGAAGAATTCGCTGAAGTGGGTGAATCTTCTGCAGCCCCAGTTATCAGTGATAAAGCCCACGAGATGATGTTGAAAATGGGGTGGAAAGGTCAAGGTTTGGGGGTGAACGAGCAAGGCGATGCCGAAACTGTAGCGGAGAAGATCCAAAATATTTCCAGGGACGGCCTAGGTGGCCCCACCGGCAATATTTTATGGGAGGTGCAGAAAATTTTGAGCAAGTTTGCCAATTCCGACAGGCTCTCAGTTCTAGCATTCGATCCTACGTTTACTAAGGAAGAAAGGGCGCACATTCACAAGTAAATTAATTTAGGCGCTGTTTCTACCCATAACCTAACTTTTTTGTAGGCTGGCCCAGAAGTTTAACTTGAAGAGCCGAAGTGAGAGTAAGGGGGAGGCGAGGAGGATCACAATATCCAAGAAGATCTGTTTGTTGCCGTTGGTGAAAAATTTGCTGAGAGAAGGTGGCGAAAGTCCAGCTTACAAGTTGATTGTCCCGGAAAAGTTTAAACACCTTTGGACTGAAGAACCGACAAGTTCCATGAACGCTTTCAGGACTGAATTCGATTCCGATTCTGATTCTGATTAACGAAATTTCATTGACTGTTTTTTGTTTTTTTTTTCGTTCGATATTTATGTGAGATTTTGTTTTGATACGTTGTAATAATAAAATTAAAGTTGTTTTGTAAACTTGGTTTCACTCATTTCCCGGAATCAATCGCCATGTTTGCGAATGAAAAATAATATAATTTATAAAAAAAATTTGACCTGTGATGATATGGAGTACTTATCAGAATTTGTATTGAGACAAATTCAATGGAATGGGAAAAAGCATAGGCGGGTAAAATATACAGTCTGTTCTTTACATATGGGACATTCTATGCGAAGCGTTGTTGTTTAATTTTATAGGACTTATTAAAAAAAGTGAAATGATTTTTGCAGCAAATTTACTTCATCAATTTTTTTTTTTTCGATTAATAAATGGGGTCAAAATTTAAATTATTTGTTCTCAATGGCTTGCTATAGCATCTGCACCTCTGACTTTTAAATAATGAATTTTTTATTTCAAAGAAGTGAAATATGAATAGCAAAACCCTGTAGATATAAAAAAACTAAAAAAATTCATTAAATTTCCGCCTATGTATTGTTTACGTTAAACTAAAATAAAAACAAAAAATATTTTGAGCAAAAAACCCAAAGGATTTTCATGTAAATTTCTAATCTACTTAATTTATATGATGATGACCTCCAAGTCTGGGTCACCGCTACAATAATATATGTAAATAAAAAGATCAAAACCACAGTTGTTAAATCATTTTAAGTAATATTGTTGTTAGTGGTGTTGTGCATAGTAGCTGCTAATTTTTTTGTATTAAGTTCAGGTAAGATATTAATAATATTTTTAGTACCATGTCAGGATTTCTTAATTTTAAACAGGTTTTAAACATAATATTTAGCATCAACGTTGATTAGGTACCTAATTAATTTAAATCTAAAATCAAGATTATAGAAAATTATTACATTAAATATACATGGTGAGACGGGAGGAAGGTGCATTTTACACGTAAAAATAATGTTGTCTACTTCCACTTTTAAAACGTTCATGTTTCCATGAACTTTATAAAACATATTGACAAGTTGTGGCTTTAGCTAGGGCTGAAGTTGGTCACATACTGAAGCTATTTGACAGTTGTCAAATGTCATACAATCGTTAAATAAAGTGAATTTCTTGTAAAATTATATCTTTACTTTCACTGTGAAATGTTGCTTCTGTATAGGATTTAACCTGTGGTTAGTCCTTTTTTTTATTTACACATACAAATTTGACATTTGACAGATTCCCAAGTTAGTAACTTGGAGAATGGTTACTCTATTGTTTTATAGATGTCGCTTTATACAAATATTTAATTTAAATAATTATTATTATTTGACAGTTGTCAAATGTCATACAATCGTTAAATCAAGTGAATTTCTTGTAAAATAATATCTTTACTTTCACTGTGAAATATTGCTTCTGTATAGGATTTAACCTGTGGTTAGTTCTTTTTTTTATTTACAGATAAAAATTTGACATTTTACAGATTGCCAATTTAGTAACTTGGAGAATGGTTACTCTATTGTTTTATAGATGTCGCTTTATACAAATATTTAATTTAAATCATTTTAAGATAACAATAAGTATTTGTCGTGGAAAAACACGTTTATAAACTTTTCTAGGCACTCATTTAATTAAACACTCGCTTGCAAGGTCGCTCGTGGCCAAATTAAATTCCTGTCTAAAATAACGTTTATCAAACTTCGTCAAAAACACTATTTTGTTTATAACTTTTGTAATGTTTTATATTTAAAAAAAAAATTGTAAGTATTTTAGTATTATTAAGTACTACAAAAACCAATAATTGATTTTTTTATTCCATGAATTTGGGGAAAAATCCATTTCACAAATTCTTATCTAGTTGTACCTATTTCAATGAGTATATGTAAAACATTTTGTTTTAACTTGTTCAGTAACCAAATGGTTCATTAAAAGTTTATTTTAGATTTTACGATTTGGTTTGAACTTAATTTGTGCATAAAAATAGTCGTATTACTATTAACAACGACTTACCTAATAAAAAATTAATTTTTCGATTTTTTTTTAGCCCGACCGGGCAAAATCTTTTTTACAGCATAGGCGATAATTAATCCCTTTAGTAGTCAGTGTTGAAAATAATGGAAATAATTAAATATTAATTAATCCAAGTATTATCTATTCGTGTAAAAAACAATTTCGCTAAAATAATGTATTTCCCATTTATTTTATCATATCTTCGGAAGTTGCTAAATATAGAAAAAAAATCAATATGAGTGAGCATTCCAAATGGAAAACCGATCAATTTCGGCCTTTTTTCAAATTAATTAAGATAGTACTTTTGATTGTAGTAAAGCGCATGATCGCTGCAGGCTTATAATAATGGGCGAAATAAAAGTATACCGGCGAAATGCTACAATTTGGCTCGCGAGTCTTCTGCTGTGCGCTTTCGTACTAGAAACATCAGCTTTAACCGCACAAAAAAGACCAGCAGACATAAATTATAATTCCGGTTCGAAAAGGCAGAAAACAAACGACAACCGCATCATGGACCCAGCTTTCGCGAACGCCGGAAAACAAGCAGGTCTGGAAATCTGGAGAGTCGAGGTGAGAATTTTTTTTTATTATTTTTTTTTTTAATTATATTGTTGCCCCTTGGGTAAACTTACAATGACAACCTTGATGTAATTGCCTTGCAAATAAATAAACAAACAAAATGACTCATTTTGTTATACTTCAATTAGTTTTAAACGGATTTAATTTAAATTTTTCGTCATTTTAGTATTTTATGGTTTTTATGCTTTAAATTTGTTGATTTTGTAGGTATATCCAGGTTATTTATTATCAAGATTAGATTAGATTTACTTGCCTATACATGTATTTATTTAATACCTAATTGATTAGTTGTCTAAAAATTAAAAATTTTCAACAATTAAAAATTTGTAAATTTAATAAAAAGTATTAGCATGCATTTAAATTTCTCATCATACATATGACCCCTTGAAAAAAACAATTTTGAAAGACGCAATGTTATTTTTAAATTCAAATTAAATTTACTGACTAAAACAATTTTTATTGCTGCAATGTTTACATACAAATTCATGCCAACACAAACATCAAACATTATTTTTTTATCCCAGATAAAATAGTTAATTAAATATTGATGGACATCCCGAAATTTGTCATCGGGTTTAAAATAATACTTCTCAGTAGTATTAACTCGAAAGTTATTTTCATTTATATGTGTTGATGCCTATTTATATTTTTCTTTGAAACTAAACATCATAGGTACATTGTATTCCTTATATTCATGTGGGTTCTAATTTTATTTTGCGATAATCTTTCGACAATCTATGGTAAAATATCCTGTGTAGATAACCAAGTATTTTTATTTATAAAACAATTTAAAAATATGAAATATTTCAAAATAATAAAAAAAATTGGCAATATGTTTGACACCTACCTACTTAGTCAATTTATTACAGAATGCTTTTAAATTGTACATTGCATTTATTTATTATTGTGTTTACAATGTTATTTGTTTTTCAAAATATGTAAAAATATACTATACTAAATCAGTTTGAGAAACCCTGTATATGCCCTTATAATTATAATAACAATTAACTTTTAAAGTTATTTTATAAAAGAAAAATCATCTGAACTTTAGTGTATTTGACATTTGATTTTATCGATTATTTTTTAAACACTATTAAGTTTCACCTTTTTGTGTACATAATTTTTAATGGATATGTTTTAGGACTTCAAACCTGTAGCTTACCCTAAAAATGATTATGGTAAATTTTACACTGGGGATTCTTACATTGTTTTATTCGTAAGTAATTTCGAACGTAGATTTTCTGTGATTTAAAATATTTATATTTTAGACCAAAATAAACAAAAACAACCAAAAATCATGGGACATACATTTCTGGTTGGGAACAGAAACAAGCCAGGTAATCAAATACGTACATCTTAATTCTAAAATAGACCGTCTGTTTCGTGTATTTTAATTTTAATCTGCCATCTTAAGAGTCTAATTAAAAATACAACAGCCTATTCATTCGTAACATTAACATCAGGGCCGGCGTTAGCTTATTAGAGGCCAGGTGCAAAAGAAAAATGCGGGGCTTGAACTAAGAATTTACTCTTGAAAATTAATAAACCAATTAAAGGGATTAGAGCTAAAACCGCATTTTTAAGTCAAAATTTTTTAAGCGTGTTACCGGATAGTAGAAAATTTTGACTTAAAAATGCACTTGGGTGGTTCAGCTTTTCCCTTCAATTAATATAGAAATTAACGTTTAAGAAAAAATCATACATAATTTTTCCCTGCTTTTTTGGAAGCTCTTTTCCAACATCCTATTGACAATGTAGCCAAACCCACTAGTCGTTCTTGGCACATACCTTGTTGATCTTAAATATTTATTTATTAATTTTAATTTTGAAAAACTCTTTTCCCGGCGTAATAATAACGGATACAGGCAACTTCAAATACACATTTAGCAACATTGAACTGAATGATAATAGATGACGATACTTACTAAAGATATTATCTCTGGCAATGACCAGATATTATTTTGTCACGCTGTGCTTACAGCTTGCCATGTTGCCTATAAAACGCGAGGCCGGGTGCAACCGCACCGTTTGCACATGCCTCACGCCGGCACTGATTAACATATGCCAAAAACTTAATGATTCGTTTAAATTAGGACGAAGCCGGTGCAGCAGCGATTTTAACGGTTCAACTCGATGAACTTCTTGGTGGAGATCCCGTCGAATACAGAGAGGTGCAAGAGCACGAATCCCAATTGTTCCTCTCGCACTTTAAGAACGGCGTTAGGTACATAGCCGGTGGTGTCCAATCGGGCTTCACCCACGTCGATAGAAACGCCTTCGAGAAACGTTTGTTCCAAGTCAAAGGTTCCAGAAATATTAGAGTCAAACAAGTGAACCCAAGTATTTCCAGCATGAACCGCGGCGACTGCTTTATTCTCGACGTCGGAAAAGACATCTACGTGTTCGTCGGCAAAAAAAGCAGGAACGTGGAGAAATTGAAGGCCATCGGAGCTGCCTCTCAAATCAGAGACCAAGATCACGCCGGCAAAGGCAAAATCACCATTGTGGACGAATATTCGCCCATGAGCGACTTCGAGAACTTCTTCAAGGCTCTCGGCGAAGGCAGCCAACAACTGATCCCCGACGAGACCGTTGGAGGTGACGACCAAACGTTCGAAACCAACGAAGCTAACATCGTTACGTTGTACAAAGTATCCGACGCGAGCGGCAAACTGCAAGTCACCCCGGTCGGCCAGAAACCTCTCATGCAAGCTTACTTGGACACCAACGACTGCTTCATTTTGGACACCGTAGATGCCAACATATTCGTTTGGGTCGGCAAGAAGTGCAACGATAAGGAACGCAGGGAGGCCATGAGCAAAGCCGAGAACTACATGACGTCCAAAAAATACCCCAAGTGGACCAACATCCAAAGGCTCGTTGAGGGTACCGAGACGACCGCTTTCACTCAGTACTTCAAGACGTGGAGGGGCGCCAACGAGAGGCGCGACAGAATCGTCAGATCGGTCAGCACCGACGCCGACTGGGAGCCAAGGTTGTTCCACGCCGAAATTCGCACCACAGGGGGTAAATTCAGGATCGAGGAGGTACACCACTTCGACCAAAAGGACCTCAACGAAGACGACGTCATGCTTTTGGACAACGGCTTGGAGTTGTACGTTTGGATTGGCAACAGCGCCAGTCCTGAGGAAAAGGAGAAATCGGAAACACTATCCGAGGTAACAAGCTTAGGACTTTCCTTGCCTTAACAACATATTTATATTTTTTTTTTTAGACTTTTATTAAATCCTTGGGACGTGATAATGTCAAAACTATCACAGTTTCTCAGGGAAACGAGCCGGAAGAATTCAAAAATGTATTTCCAGCTTGGGACGCTGATGTCTGGAACAATGTGCCCAACTATAGAGATCTAGTTAAGAACTGAGACTGCTTTTGCATTTATATGACAAAAAATATTTTCTTAACTCTATTTGTTTGTTTGCTTAAGTCTGTTATTTAGTAGATATATAATCTAACATATTAATTAAATGTTTTAAAGTTTATACAAAAATTTTAATATAGAAAAGTAACTCGCATTAAGGACTATTATTAAAAAATCACATGTACATTGGTTTTTATACATTTCCATTACTTCCCAGCAGAACTTGGGTTTGTGCCTTCGTCGAAAATTGCCTTCGAGATATAAATTATATTAAAAAATGTGAACACAAGTAAAAATTATTGTAACTCACCATTGTAATACCAAAAAACTCATTGTAAAGTTCTTGTTTTTGTTTTTTGGTATAAATCCATTTTTTTGAATGAATGTAGAAGCTTATGGCTTTACGACAAGTCGGGCAGGTTCTTAAAAAACACTTATTGTTATTTATACATATAACATATATAGAAACTTACTTGGTTAAATAATTCTCCATCTCATATTTGTGCCACTCACTAATGCAACTTTTACAAAAACAATGGTTGCAAGTCGAGAGGATAGCAAACATGTTTAAAGGTTTGCATTTAAATTTTACTACTTCATAGCATATATCACACTTTTTAAATTGCTCGGACATTTTTTGTTTATTTGTTTGTAAATTATCTATGCTATCATGAAGGCACAACGTGGTTAAATAGCCTACGAAACACTGATGCCACCTTGTAGGCAATAGCAGTAATAGCAAGCGCCAAATTTGAATTTTAACCAAACTATAATTAAAACTACTATAATAGTTGAACTATTACAACTTTTATATATGTTTTTAATTTTATACCGTATTATTGCAATAATACGGTATAAAATTAAAAAACCATGGTTTTATAAAGGCATATGGACAAATAAATTTAATAATAATTTAATATACAAGTAGATATGCATATTGTCTTTTAATTTTGATTTTATACCGCCAAATAAAAAAGTTATGATTTTATATATAGTGAAGTTGTTTATTCGTAATTATTTAATGTCTTGTATTCTCTATGTTTTTATGCGTGTTTATTATGCTCTAAGGTACTGACTAAGTTTTAAGCGCCATCTATAAGATAGTAATGGACGTATTATTAGAAATCTACTTTATTTTTATTGAACACATTATTTGTGCTACTATTTCATAGATGTCGCAGTGTGGTTATTTAAAAAAATCGGTTTTTTGATATTTTCTTAAGTACGTATCCAATTAAATTAAATTAAAGTAATTGGTAGGTTTTTTTACTCATAATATACTTTTCTGGCCTCATATTAATTTTTGTTTATTGAAATTGGAGTTGTCTGTTGGTGACGCAATTAATATTATCCTTGAAAATTATTATTGAATCTCGAGCATATACTTCGGCTAGGAAAGGCCCTGGTTAGGTCAAATAACAAATTATCCGATTTAATATATTAATTTTAGATATTAAAACATAGTACAGTTAAAAATATAAACTCAGTTGACAAAGCTTTTGTGGTGTGTATACAACTATATATAGTCGTTTTGTATCGCTTGCAAGCTGTTGTAGTATTTTCAATTTTCTTTGATATATTACATGGTTGTTAGTTTTTAATTAAATCAGTAAAAATACTGACTGGACATTCGTTCGTTAATTTTTTTTGCTCGTTTCCTGTGGGTACAAAAGACATTGAAAAACAATTGGTCGCTTTCCTAGATCCTATACGCTGCCCACCTATTTGATGCGACAATACAAATAGGGTAGTTTGTTTATTACACTAAAACCTGTTTCGAGAAAACGTTCTATGAATATTAAATGAGCATTTGAAGGCGGATTGCATGCAGCCTGTCAATAAGGGAAATATAGGAAACCGTTTGCTATAATACCTTCATATAAAATCAAATATTATCTATTCGCAAACTATTACAGTTGGCGTTGGCAGTTTTAGTTTTATTTACAAATATGCATTATTTATACCATCAATACAAAATAAATTATTGTAACCTATTTAGTTTAAATATTTTGTGCTGTTAATAAACTTGTCAACTATTAATGTTCATTAACATCCGCCATATTTAAATTAGAATGACGTTACTTATTCTGCTTGACAAATCCTTTCATTTGATACCCACGTCAATGAGGTTGTCAAGAAATAGGTAATCCTCCATATTGGATTTGATACCCATGACAAGGGTTTGTATATAATTAGTTTTTACGCCATCTTGGGTCGGCCGCCATATTGGATTTAGTATGACCTTATCGTTTTCTACTCGTCAAACCCTTTCATTTGATACCCATGACAAGGGGTTGTGGATATTTAGTTTTTCTGCCATCTTGGGTCGGCCGCTTTATTGGATTTAGTATGACCTTATCGTTTTATACTCGTCAAGCCCTTTCATTTGATACCCATGTCGAAGAGGTTGTGAATAATTAGGTTCTTCGCCATCTTGGGTCGGTCGCCATATTGGATTTAGTATGACCTTATCGTTTCCTACTCGTCAAACCCTTTGATTTGATACCCATGACAAGGGGTTTTCGATAATTAGTTTTTCCGCCATCTTGGGTCGGCCGCCATATTGGATTTAGTATGACCTTATCGTTTCCTACTCGTGAAACCCTTTCATTTGATACCCATGACAAGGGTTTGTGTATAATTAGTTTTTCCGCCATCTTGGGTCGGCCGCCATATTGGATTTAGTATGACCTGATCGTTTCCTACTCGTCAAACCCTTCATTTGATACCCATGACAAGGGGTTTTCGATAATTAGTTTTTCCGCCATCTTGGGTCGGCCGCCATATTGGATTTAGTATGACCTTATCGTTTCCTACTCGTGAAACCCTTTCATTTGATACCCATGACAAGGGGTTTTCGATAATTAGTTTTTCCGCCATCTTGGGTCGGCCGCCATATTGGATTTAGTATGACCTTATTGTTTCCTACTCGTGAAACCCTTTCATTTGATACCCATGACAAGGGTTTGTGTATAATTAGTTTTTCCGCCATCTTGGGTCGGCCGCCATATTGGATTTAGTATGACCTTATCGTTTTCTACTCGTCAAACCCTTCATTTGATACCCATGACAAGGGGTTGTGGATATTTAGTTTTTCTGCCATCTTGGGTCGGTCGCCATATTGGATTTAGTATGACCATATCGTTTCCTACTCGTCAAACCCTTTGATTTGATACCCATACAAGGGGTTTTCGATAATTAGTTTTTCCGCCATCTTGGGTCGGCCGCCATATTGGATTTAGTATGACCTTATCGTTTCCTACTCGTGAAACCCTTTTATTTGATACCCATGACAAGGGTTTGTGTATAATTAGTTTTTCCGCCATCTTGGGTCGGCCGCCATATTGGATTTATTATGACCTTATCGTTTTCTACTCGTCAAACCCTTCATTTGATACCCATGACAAGGGGTTTTCGATAATTAGTTTTTCCGCCATCTTGGGTCGGCCGCCATATTGGATTTAGTATGACCTTATCGTTTCCTACTCGTCAAACCCTTCATTTGATACCCATGACAAGGGGTTGTGGATATTTAGTTTTTCTGCCATCTTGGGTCGGCCGCCATATTGGATTTAGTATGACCATATCGTTTCCTACTCGTCAAACCCTTTGATTTGATACCCATGACAAGGGGTTTTCGATAATTAGTTTTTCCGCCATCTTGGGTCGGCCGCCATATTGGATTTAGTATGACCATATCGTTTCCTACTCGTCAAACCCTTTGATTTGATACCCATGACAAGGGGTTTTCGATAATTAGTTTTTCCGCCATCTTGGGTCGGCCGCCATATTGGATTTAGTATGACCTTATCGTTTCCTACTCGTCAAACCCTTCATTTGATACCCATGACAAGGGGTTGTGGATATTTAGTTTTTCCGCCATCTTGGGTCGGGCGCCATATTGGATTTAGTATGACCTTATCGTTTCTTACTCGTAAAACCCTTTCATTTGATACCCATGACAAGGGGTTGTGAATAATTAGTTTTTACGCCATCTTGGGTCGGCCGCCATATTGGATTTAGTATGACCTACCCGTCAAACCCTTCCATTTGATACCCATGTCAAGAAGGTTGTTACAATATTAGTATTGTGACCAGCACCAAAAGTGTGTGCAAAATTTTAGCTCAATAGTAGGTTTAAATCGAGTTCCTAAAAGCCAATATAAAGGGAGTAAAAACACAAAATGTCGAAATTCATGGAAAATCCCCTTTTTCGCGTGTAAGGGATGAATCATTTTTGCATGGAAACTTAATATTAAAGCGAACGACTGTGAAATATTACTAATTAAACTTTCTGCCGTTTGTGATAGTATCGGTCATAACCTTACCTATCCCTAAATACGGGGTATACTCTAGACTAGGGGTCTATAGTCTGTGTGTACATGTTAATAAGGATAATTTAGTCACGACAGCGACATTCTATTAAAGGCAGGGTTGATTTTAAATCTGCCTCATTAAGTGAAAATTACATACTGTTATTTTGCAATTTTACGTTATTTTTTCTTCAACGTCCCACGGCCAAGTTTATGCAACAGGACATTTTAAAAAAAAACGTTAAAATTTGCTGCTGAAATTAAATATGTTTGGAAAAGGCTTTACTAAAATAGGGATGATAAAAAAAAACAAAAACCTTATTTGGCAGATGTGTGGTTTTTAAATGGTAATACGATACTTAACAGAGGTAACTAAAACCTATTTTGCATACAGGAAATTATAATTATAATTTTATTTGGTGTGGGTAATCCATATCATAAAAGGGTTCATCACTTTTTTATTTAATTTTTATTGGGCAGCATTCGACGTGTTTTTAATAGATTATTAACTGTAATTTATCAAACAAGTCATTTTATTTTCATATATTAAACTACCGTATGTGATCTGGAATGCAATATTCGTACAAAGTACAGTACAAAGATTTTTAAGGCTTTTAGTTTGTACGAAATTAAATGATGATAATGTTATCCCTGCCCTTATATTTACACAACTGGAGTTTTTGGTTTTAGAAGCCACAAATATCACAATTATTATTTGTAGAAAAGCTGCCCTTATTTCGTCGCCTTCAATAATATATCTGTGGTAAATATAATTGTAATGTATAATTTATTCCATAAAAGTTGATTTTCCTGATTAATTTTATGCAAA